AGGACAAAAGACAACCTGTATCTCCCGAAAGCAACATTAAAAGTATCGCAACACTCTCTTGCGTTCCTGGGTCCACAAATATATAATACTCTACCTCCTGTAACTTGCTTCAATTTAAATGCCAACTTAAAAATTACTTAAATGAAAATTGTTTTTACTCCATCGCCGAATATTTCAAATTTTCCAATGAAAACTAGTCTGTTGAATTGTCTATTTTATGTATCTAATTTTTGTCATAGTTTATTGTCTTATTAATTGTTTGTCACTTATACTTACCATGACGCTTCCTATACAATATCGTTAATTGTCCAAAGGAATTATAAATAAATCAAATCAAATCAAATGCCAATAAAGGTGGCCTGGGACATATTTATCATAAGAATAACTATTTGTTACTTGGTTCGTACCCCCACACCGCAGACGAAACCTTAAAACCAGCGAGTAGTTTTTATAATCGTAAAGGACGTAAGGTATGGCGATTCTCAAGAAGTGTACAGGGTGCCCAGAACAACTGGGATTGAATAGGAAACTTTGATTATTACTAATGTTGTGAGAAGCGAATTTTGCAATTTTGTAATATTTGCGAGCATATTCGGAAATATTCGCATTGCTAAGAACGAATATTCGCACACTGGAAATTTAAGCGAATACTTTCCATAAATTTTCGATTTTACGAGGTTACACGAACGTTAACAAGTATACGTGCAGTCGTTCCTCTCAGAAAAGTTCTTCCGAAAGCCAAATAAAATTCCAAATAAAAATTAAATATCTCCTTAGTTGATAATTAAGTTAATTATAACATTTTGTCATTTCGATAGAAAGGCAAAATTAAATTCAAGGTGGCGGTTACTAAATATCAACTTTCTGGTTGCCTAGATGAAATAACCTATGATAGAGCAAAGAATATTAGTAAAATTTATGCTCTTTACTTTTTATTAAGTATGTATATGCTAATTAATTTAATAATTAATTAGTCGATCATACGCTATCACCCTTTGGTCGGTAAAAAAATAATAAAAAAATTAACAATTCAATATCACACAATTCATTAACGTTTTTAATAATAGGCGCAATATTGAATGTATAGATTTTTTAAAATCCCGATTTCACCAAAGAAATGTTCTCTGTATTTATGGAAATTTTTAAGAAAACACGCGAAATATCATAAACCGTTTTTATTTTTTAGGGTTAAATGCAAAACTTTATTATAAAAAGTTTCAGTGCCTTGGAAGAACCAACTGACACTTTATACAAAACTTTAAACAATTCTACTAAAGATACCAAACCAACGACAAAGGTTAAAAAAGCCTTTTTTTTGGGTAGATTGTATCCTTTCAACCCGAAACACCATTAAAGAGACCATTAAGCAGCCCAACGTCTTATTGAAAACAATTAAGGGATTATAATAAACTCTAATTTGTATACAATTGTTGAATATTTTCTTTTATATTTGAAATATTAAAAATTCTCTTATCTTTTTAATTGCGTCTATAGGTTTTACAGTATTGTTAGTTTCCAGTTCCAGTGCTGTCATAGGCACTGATTGTGGATACAAAGGGGTTCGAATCCTATGGGTTGGTTGAACGACAAGAGTTACTATCAGCTAGTTTCTCGCCTGCTATAAAATAGATATTAAAATCAAATAAAGTTAAATGAAATTAAATAAAATAAAATTCAATTAAATTAAATTAAATTAAACATTTGAAATTAGCACTTGGCGAGTACCGACAGAAGTGATTACTACTTTCTCATTATAGAAAAAAAACGAGCGCTCAAGGGGTTCGAAACTGCGTAAACTATAAGCGGCGATTTTGCGGCTACGCTACGCACTGTCCCAATAAATACTGCTGTGGCCCCACATTGGGCGCCAAATAAATATATATAATAATATATAATAAATATGCTGTATGCAATGGTATGAGGTACACTACTCCCAAAACACCTGTCCAACAAGCTCAAAATAAATTAAAATTGAAATATTCCGACATCTGTTAGAAAGAAAAATCCGAATCTTGACTGAATTTACTAATTTGGGAGACTCCACATTCCAAATAAGTAGGTATTAAGGGAATTTTTATCAACAACTGAAATAAATTTTGTATACTCAGAGAAAAATCTGACATAATGACCATGCAGTAGAATGGATTCGAATAAACACATTTAATTGATTGACAATGACAAAAATTAGATGGAAATAAAAACAAAATTCCTGAAATAAAGAGAAGCTCACAAAGCTTGTTTTACATGGTACCCCGTACGCAAAAGGTCCATAAATACAAAATTTAAAAAAATAAAATCTTCAAATTAGTTACAATTTTTTTTTTCTTTTAATAATCCTAAAATTGGTCGTGAACAGGTTTGCGATATTCAAACACACCTAACTCTCAACACAAACGCAGACAGCTTTAGAACTTCAGTTAACTTTCTTTTGCACATAAACATTATGAAAAGGACTATTAGCATCTTCAAGCAATCAAATCGGGCGGACAGCCCGAATAAATAATTAGCGTAAAGAGACGTGCACTATTTTCCAAACGTCGCAAGCCAGCAGCATTAATCAGTCCCGTTTTTTTGTTCTCTGCAGTATTTAACGAAACACCACCTCCATCAAGCAAAAACCTCCTTTTTGGGCTCGTTCATAAGACACAACAGTTACCGCTACGCTACCTCGCAGCGTATCGGTAACAGTTGGTGTATTATGTCACGTTCCCTACTTTGACATGTGTAGCGCTACTAAAAATGAAACAGCGACGTAATTATAAGACGTATCGGTAACTGTTCCACAACAGTTGTGTCTTATGTACGCGCCCATTGTGCATTCCAATGACATATGTCATTCTTATTAAAAATGGGACGCGGTGCACGAAATAAAATGTAGTTCAGAACAGAATACAATATTGTTTCCTTGGACACGACGAGAGAACCTAAGCTAGTTATTTTGGATGTCTACAAATACGAAACTTGAAATGAAGGTGTCAGTTTTGTCATATTTTCTCTACCACCCAAATTTTTGAACTTTTTGTGACAATTACCTTATATTTTATGTGGTGCGCTGATGTTAGAGCATCGTAGCGTCATAAACTTTCTGACAAAACAAGGACATCAGCGAAGAACGATTAGCAAAAACATGCTTGCTGTGTATGGGAATGATGTCCCATTGTATTATGTGGTAAAAAATTTTGAGCTAAACAGTTTCGGTGTGGGAATTCATTGAAGATGACTCTAACAGTGACAGACCAAGAACTGCAACAAACTATGAAATGGTTGCAAAAGTTGAAGCCATGGTTCTCGAACATCGTCGTGTCGAGGTTTGCACTATCAATATGACATTGGGAATATTCGAACCTAGCGTGTTAATCAAAATTCACGACCATTTGAACAAGCAAGGTGTCAGCGCGGTGGATTCCCCGCAAAAAGATGCGTTTGACGTTTTGATTCGGATGATTCCTTAAAAGCTGCTATTGACAACTTGTTTACAGACAAGGAAAAAATGATTTTTTCCAACGATATTAGCTCGTTAAAAGACTTTATTAAAAAATAAAATAAAATTGGGATCGGATCATACCATTTTCTGCAAATAAATGTACGGTATGGCTTACAGTAATTAGCTGACTAATCAAAGTTCAAAGAACTCTTTGTAAATTTGTACGCTAAAACACATTGTTATTAACAAAACAGTGGGGCAAGTTCTCCAATAATAGTTTTAGTTTATGCATTGCACAGACAAACGTGCTTGAATGCGTCCAAGTCTCTCGCAAGACATACTAAACCGCTCAAAAAAAGTATAATTGGCAATAATGGAAAACGCGACCCAATATTATGACTGATCAATCAAAAGCAATTTGGCCACACCGTCTAAATCTCAATTCGTTGTGACTATTGAAATTAGTCCTTCGAGTCTTGTCTGCAGTCTCTTCCAACTTCCCAAAATTCTTAAGCGTAATGGATAATTTTTGCCCCAAATTAAGAAACGTAGTTTCCGAATTTCTACCTTATACCCTTCAAACTTGCACAGTTTGTTTCAAATTGAGTAGTAAAAGTTGCGTTGAGATATTTGTTCTTTCGACTTTCAAGCAAATTACCCTTCGCATAAATGTGTGCTCTCACGGATAAGCAAGAGTAAACTTTTTGACGCTTCACAATCTTTGCATTGAAATAAGGTCATAAACTAACGTAATATTCGATTTTTCAGTGGCAGTAAAGACAAGTTGGGTGTCGTGGTGGCGGCTTACATGCATTATTCAAGCATATGCGGAACGGCGGATCAGGCTTTGGATCGTTTTTCAATGAGACGTTTTTTGGAGGATAACATAGGGCCGTTGCAGACGCCATCAAACCGAAGGTATGCCTATTTGTTTCATTTTGTAACGTGACTCAATAGGTGTTTTGCAGATACGTCGATTACTTTGCGGGCTTACTTTCCCACAATATTAAAGTGAATGCCGCCCCTTTGTATTTGACACATGTAACCGTTTTGGGAGCGCCGTCGTTTCAGCAGGGCGGATGTAGGGCATTCCTAAAGCTATACGAAGGACTTACACCTGTATACACATCAGGTAATTTTGAAGAGTTAGAAATGCGTGCGTGGATATAAGCGTTTAGTGCCTTCAAGCGATTCTGGAAATATGATCTTATAAACGGAAAGTTAATGCTATTCCTGTTATAAAATCAAATACCATGAAAGTACACGCATACTTGTGCAGACATACGATACTTTTCTTAAGCCAGACATAATTCAATACATACGCAACTACTTGTAGAAGAACGGAATGCGATAATGTGCTTCTTTTTTCCGTCTTTGAATACTGCCGTTAATTTTTGCGACTTCCTTTAGGTGTCTACAGCGTGGTGAGTGGTGTCAAACAGTTCACAGTAAACCTGGCAGCTGAGAGAAGACCCGGTCTGCAATTACGGGGAGACATTTTAGTAAAATGCTATCATCGAGGGCCCTCAGATCGTGAAACAATCTTCGCTTGCCAATTTCACACGTGCGCGTTGCTGACAACACTCTCAGTTTTACAAGGCAAGAATTGGACAATGCGTGTAATGGTAAGTGCCTCATCTTCCATTCCGATGTAGACAAGCGAATTATTTCAGATCCAAGGTTTCCGCCGGATGGTGCTGTAGAATTACACTTTTGCGCTGGTCCCGAAGGGCGTATGTCTGCACCCGCCCCAACACCAGCAGTACCTGTGACTCTTACAGAAGATCCAGTGACACGTGCAGACAGTCCTTTGGAACTGGATGATTCGAATGACGAATCCGATGGAGGTACGCGCTTAGCATTTCACAACGTGCAGTGCATGGCTATTAAAAAATGGTTGGATAGCGCACAATTAAACTTAATAATACTCTCTTTGCATAAATCTTCTTGACCATTAAGACTTTAATTTGTATCAATTTACATGCACTTAAATAATGCCATGATTTTATTAACGGTAATCTGTGAGATTTCACACATGAATGGCCAGTGGACGTATACATTACGCTCTCTTGCTTTCCCAGTGTTCAAAGGTAATAGTAGAAGATTGCCGGCGACACTGTTCTCCTATTCCTTGTCATACTTTGCATTTTACTACCTTATAATTACATGTCATTTCATCACTGTGGAAATACACTGTAACATTTACGCACAAATGTGAAAATGGTTGTAAACAAGTTCATCTGGAAAAGCGTGTACTCGTACTTTTCTCTATAGAAATATTGAAATGGTATTGATTGTGAAGATTTTGATGCGACTTATGTAAACTTTCGGGCATTTATGTTTAGTAGAAAAAGAACTGATAACTGTAATTGAAACGTTCATGCAGCTTATGGTGTTCCATTTGCAGGCGATAAGATTGCAAAAACAGTTCAGCACTATATAATACGATTTAGGTGTAGCAGCCGTTCCAGAGTTTTAACAGAAAGTAACCGTAAATGGCAGAAAACTGCAGGAAGGAAACCTGCATTGTAGGAATAAGGCCCAGTTTTCTCTTCTCTCTGGCCAGTTGAACGCGATCGGTGGTAACGTCAGGACGGCGGCTGCATGGTCTCTCTAGTACCTACACAAGCTCTTCTTCGTGCATTTACCTTGTCTTTCGCTACATTGTCTTAGTAGTATTCCTATGCGCTCCTCAATTTCTTTATTAAAGCTCATTTTTTGACTTGTAACCGTCGACGTCTATCCGCTACTATGGCCCAAAATGATCCTGATTGACGCGGACGGCGAGTGACTTTCGGCGATTATAATAAACGCTGCCCGAGTGCCCGCGATGGTTTTGGGAGGCGCAAAGCGCTGTGAAGGGGTCGCGAGATCCCTGATGTGTTGGAGGCAAATATTTACACTTATATTAGGTATTTTTGTGTAACATTGTATTTGGCCAATTCTTACAAAAATAAGTATCTACAATTCAGTAAATCCGCCTTTTTTATTCTGATGAAAGCACAGATGTTGCACAGTGTTGCCAGATGGTAGTCTATTTGCGATTTATGATAGTGCTATAAAAGAAGAGATCTCAAATGAACTAAAAACGACCTCAAAAGCCGTTGATATGGCTGCAATATCCGACTTGATTGAAAAACATAATATTTTATGGGTCATACATAACACCGTCAGAAATTTGAGAAAAATTCACCAAGGTTTTGTTAAAATTATGTTTTGATATCTTTGAAAATAAATGGACGGAGATGTTCAAAGGAAAAATTAATCACCATAAAATTCTGCATAACTGCCCATTTAAGCGGTTTCCGAATCCCCGTAGTGAAAATGAAAAAAAAACTTACTCTGTAATTTTTTTAATAAATACATTTGTAGTAACAGCAGTTTTTATTTTTTAAACGGGATAGAGGGCGTGAGCAACTTTACTTTTATGAAAGGGATGGAAATAAGTTTGGGAACCACTGCTACAAACAATTTGATCGCCGCTCACGGCGCGCCCGTCGTCATTTGCGGTCCTCGGAGTGCCTACCTCTTCTTCGGATAAACTCCATGAATACCATTATTGGCGCGAATAGACTGGCAAGGTTTTTCACGCAAGTTGCTGTCTGGTAGCTCTGTCGAGTGACAATGTTACTCTTACATACGGTCGAAAATTAAGAACCCATCTGAATTTGTGAGAAAACTACCCCGGAGCATGGCCGTATCTGGCTGCGCACTTGACGGGAGTTCAAATTTGTGCCCCACCCCCCACACCTGGCGATGGGTGGTATTAAATACCCCCCAACAAATACGCAGGGACCGGGAAGTCTTTTCCCGGAAATTTTCTAAAATTAACAGCTTTTTGATCCGAGAGTTTCGCTTTTTTTAAACGTGAAGAAAAGATTACAAAATACAGTGTGGTCAAAATAAGAATAAACATCATGGGGAAATGGGAAACCATAAGAAATACACAGTCGGTAAAATTAGAAAGAGTTGCACTATTTAGGACTGCCGATCCGAAATTCCGATCAGTTCCGAAGATATTCGAAAAAAAATGAAATTAACATTATCTTACAAATCAAATTGTTGATGGTTTCTTTAAGACGCCAATTGTACAGCTTAAAGAGTTCCGATGAGGTAGTGGTATTTGTTTTTTGATATCTTTTCAAACAGGCCCCGAAAAAATAAAAACGAGTACCTATGGTTAATTTCGTTTTTTTTTTCGAATATCTTCCGAACTTCGGAATTTAGAAATTTTTTAAATATCATTTTACTTGCTTGCTGTTCCTTCTTTCTTGGACATACTGTATATGTTAAAGGAGACAAGGGAGGAGAGAAGGGAGAGGGGTGGAGATGAACGTAATATCACTTTGTAACTACCCAACTAGACCGCTCACAGTCACATTACGTACAGTAACTTTTAACAATCTGGAATAACGTTTATTTAAATAACGTGAAATCTTAGTCCTAATACACTAATCTAAAAAAAAATTTCATGGTCAATTTTGCGCCCCCGGTAGCTGCGTCCATCTTTCCACCGCCTAGATACGGCCCTGTCCCGGCGGTCCCGTATATATTGTAGATACATACTATATCTTTTTTTCTATTTCGGTGTCACAATGATGATTTTGTACAACTGTTTTCGGAACAGTTGTACAAAGACAGTGGTTATAGTCGTTTTTTTTTTGGTAACTCATCTCTTAAGTTGGCAGTTTATAGTTAGTACAAGTAGGTACTTCGTTGGGTACTTCCATGTTTGAACTTCAAAATGTCAGTCTTACTACGCTGTCAACCTAAAACTAAACGGCATAAAAAGTGTTCCCAACATAAAACATGTTAGTTCTAATGTTCCCTATAGTTTCTGATAATTATTTTTTTAATTAAATTAAAGCACCGAAATAGAAAAAATAGTATGAAAAACGCGTGTTACAATGCTTTATTGTAATACTCCTATCTTGCGGGCACTCGTGGCTACGCGAAGATAGTCGTATTACAATAGGTCGCATTGTAACACTTGTCTTTCAATATACTATTCCATTAGCAAGTTTTACTGTAGCAAGTTGCTGGCGCGATAATTGTAGCAAGTTGACTTACGGCTTCGAGTGGTTTTTATAGCTGGACAATATTTTCAGAGAGGAACTTGTGCGAGAAAACTTGCCAGTCTATTCGCACTTTAAGATCGCTTTTACGCGGAGATAATGTCTCCATGGCCCGAGGGCCGAGATAGTCTGTCGTCAGAATTTCTGTCAAATACACTTCGCAGATTTGGGGCATTCTAAGCTTCTCTTTCGCAGTGAAGTACTTTTTCCGCGATGCAGTGGTGGGTTAATGATAAACTCCCGTGTAAACAGTTCCAATGAACCAATAGCGCATCAGTCCCCCTAAATCCCAAACTCACTGGGCGACTAGGAGTAGCGAGGAACCGAAATTTAGTCGCCGAGACACTGTATGCAGGAAGTATACGTGTGTAAACGGCTCCATAAGACGCAATGTTTTGGGTGTATTCGAGATGCCGGTATCCGGGCGACTGTATCCTTGTGTAAAAGCGGTGCTACAAGCCTCTAGCCTCAGCACAGCAATTTTCATTTTTATAGAATGGAAGCCTTGTTGATTGGAACGTTTATTTGTACAAACTGCTCGGAATTAACTAATTTCCTAATATGTATATTGTCATACAAAGTAAGGTATCGTATATCTAGGAGTGACCATCTTTGTTTTCGGACAAAAGAAGAACGGTACAGTAAAACGGTTTTGCTCCACTCTCAAAAGTGTACACATTTGTTCCTTCATATTAAATTTGTTTTTTGGTGCAAATCTAGAATCTAGTTCAACGGAAATCGAAAAAAAATTGTTTACAGTTTACCATCCGAATACAAATTTAACGTAAATTTATAGAAAATAGGTCATGGAAGAACTATATTAAGATCCAGTTTCAGTTAAAAGTACACGAATATTCATCCCTAGCGGCTAATTTTGAACTTTTTCAATTGGTACAATATAAGGATTTAAGTTGCAGTAGGTATTGCAAAACAGTTTGAATACCTTCGAAAGAAAATCGTCTTTTTTTGTGTCGAATAAATTGCGCTACAAAAAGAGCACAGAAAGCTGTCATTTCTTCCTTTCTCTAAATTATGTTCATTTTTTGTTCATAACACGACAAAGGAAAACCTAGTGCCATAAAAGGTCAGTAACGCCAGGAAGGGATGTAGGATGCTGTGGACCAATCGTTGAGCTTGATGCTTGCGTTCTAGTTTAGGTCTAGGTTGTGCAAGGTGCTATCACTGCTTTACTGTTCCTTAATTCGTACAAAGTTTGAGTATGTCCCAATGGTGTTGCAACATGAAGACACTAGGACAATTGTGACCGTTGTGACCACAAATAAATCATCATCAACATGCTTTCCGGCAACCTTTTCTGGTTTCTGATACTACCGTTCTTGGACGCTTGGATGTGTTCTCCAGAGCTTTGAATAGCTTTACAGTGCAATGAAACACTTCTAGGTGCTTTCCAGAGCACGCTCTCAAATACTTTTAGGCCTTTTCCAGGTTTTTTAAACTTCATTCGAAGCTTGCTAGACTGTCAGAATTTTTGGAGCTCTTTTCAGAGTTTTATGGATCTTTTCCACACATCTACACCCTAACCAGATTCTTCTATAACCTTTCCAGGTCAAACAAAGCCTTCTAATCTAAATGCTTTCCAAGCCTTGTGAAAGCTTCCCACAATATTCAAAGGCTTACCAAAAGAATAAGAATATTCCAAGGATCTCCTGAACCTTATATCGCCTCCCTTTCTCTAAGATATCAAAAACAACGAAGCCCCTAAAGAACCGACAAAACTAATAGACTTTAAATGCTCTAAACGCTTCAAATCGCTCTTAAAGTTCGTAGATGACTCGTGAAGATTCTTGGAAACTGAGAAATAAACAAAAATAGTTTTTAACTTTTAAGGATTTCAAAAATTCTCAAAATAAAATAAAAAACACAAAAAAATATCGAAATCTAAAGAAAGATATATTTATGGGACTTGCCTTCGAGACACTTGGTCCATCATGGCGCAAGGAATCGCGAGATTTTCTCAATAAAATAGGCAGAAGCTTATTGCGGAATCCGGCGACAAACGCGCTAAGCAATTTTTATTCCAAAGGATATCCTTGGCTATCCAACGTGGAAATAGCGCATGTATCTTGGGCACTCTCGCAACTGAAAAACAGTTCGACGAAATTTATTTATTATAGTTAATTATTGCTTTCTTTAATGTTACACAATTTTAAATATTTCGTTTAAATAAAGTTTTATTATCAAAATAACCCTTGAAACACTTATAAATATGAAGGCTGAATTTTAAAGGCTAATAAAGAATTTAAATATTCTAGAACTAGACGACTCTGAATACTCATACTTTTTACAGTTTTTAAAAGCTTAAAGGGTCTTACAGGTTCTTTAGATTTTCAAACACTCCAACTCGCACTCCAATTTCAAAGTTCCAATCTCAGAGAAAAGAGAGACTCGGCTCTCAAAGCTTCTGGACAACTCTCGGAGACTGTTTGCTATTTTTAACGACCTTTAAAGATTTTTAAGATCTCAGAAATGCTTTTCGAAGTTGAAAGCAGGTCTCTTAAAACGCATTGCGGATTTATAGAGGATCTTACTTTCAAAGGCTCTAAAAGTCAATTAAAGACTCTCAAGGTCGCAATAAGACACTTGAAGTCTCTTGGAAGGTGTTAGAAAGCGATTCTTTTGAGTACTTTTAAACGCATCTAGACGCCTTTGATACTCATAAAAGTGTCTTAAAATTTGGATATTGAACAATCGATTAACTAACGATTATTCATACTCCTTTAACTCTCTTAGATACTTATAAAGGCTTGTTAAGTTATTTAAAAAAATGCTGTGAAGGTTATTGGAAACTATCGGACAGGAAACGTTTGATGACTCATGAAAGATTCTTGAAGCGCCTTAAGGGTTTTTCACTAAGAGTCTCTAGAAGGATCTTGGAGACAACCTTTGAAGGATTAAAGATCCTTAAATGCTACTAAAGACTTTATAAGACGGTGGAACGCTTTAGAAGGGCTTTAAACGGCTTTAAAGGCTAATAAACCTATAAAACCTCTTGAATGATCTTATTGCCTCCTGAATATTTTAAAACTATATAACACTTTAGAAGGTTCTTGAAAATTCTTACACACTGTCAAGACTCTCAAAGATTCTATACACTTTTAAATATTCCTGAACACTCTTGATTATCTCAAGGACTGATATAGGCCTTTAAGACCTCTTAGAGTCACAATTACGGACAGCTTTTTAACGCGGTACATTCATGGTACTCAGCAGTACGAAACGAGCAAATCACGTATCCAAAACCAAAACAATAGCCAGCTGGCGACTGGCATTCGCGTCCAAACGCGCTGCGGGAAAATCAAACGTTGGGCTCTCATTGTTGCAATTTTCGAAGCAGTACTGCCACTCGTATATGAAACAAATCTCAACCACGGGTCGGTCAACCATGCTTCGAAAAGTGTTTATAAAACGCAAGAGGACTCAACCACGGGTTCAAGTTCCACCCGAGGTTGGCCAAGCACGGGTTTAATCGGACTTTTATAACACCGATCCTTAAAGGATCTTGATTTTAAGTTGTTAAAATGGAATCATGCGTGTCTACATGTTAAAGTAGCACATTTTATAATTTATGCGATACCTATACCTACGAAACCATAAACATTTCCAATGTTAATAATACGCTGATGCCGTATACATTTGTGAAAGAGCGCCAATTTGTACAAAAATGAACTCGGCTACAATTACAAAAATTAAATAAAAATAATCATCCCCACACATTCTATGATTTCACAAAGCAACCACGGAAACGACCAAGAAACTCAACACTTCTTTTATAATACTGTCTAAAGCTGAGAGTCTAAAATCACGACTTTAAAGTTGCTTTATTCCGCAGTATTTTACTTGATTACTGTGTCATAACATAACACTAATTGGAAATTAAAACGTTGTGTTACGGTGAAACATTTAATATCTATCATATAATTCCTTGTAGTACGGAGTTTAGTGATGCATTTCTTTGGAAGCATAAAAATCAACGACCATTTAAAGCGCGTCTGTGACTTTTACAATAGAAAGGGCTATCAATACGAAGGGGTTTCTTACAGATGTGGATACTAGTCGACAAAATGTCTTACTCGGTCTCTCCGGTCCAATTTACTGGAAAATAAAACTTACGTACACAGTAAATGTTTGTAGCAGATTCATTACATTTCGGATATGTTTATAAAGGGAATTAGGGAAAATGTGAATTTGTGAATGTGCTATTTATTCAAAGTTTTTCCCTTAGATTGTACTGGTTGAAATTTCACACATACATAGTTAGAATTCATTATAAAAATGAAATAATTGTTACCCAGCCTAACAAAAAGGACGGACACATTAATATTTATCAAAACCTTTTCTCTTCACGACATTGTTTGATGATTTTTTCTATCCCCTGTGATTTGAAGAAAAATCCATTGTAGATTAAAAAGTTTCACATCAGTTTCTTGCAACTTTTTGACTGTGACGTGATCATCTACAATTGTAATTAGACAGATCTTAATGGAACCCCATTCCCAGACCGTGTAACCGCTTACTGGTGTTTTCGGTGTGGTCGGAAGCGACGTTGATGGATTTCATTTTTCTTGGCTACCGGCAGCCTATTTCCATAACAGTTTCCTTGATGTTCTACCAGGAAGCACGTACACAAACTAAAACGGAATCCACGTAAAACCGAAAATCTATTTTTAAAATCAAACAACCGAGTTAAATTTACCGTGCCGAAATCTAATATACGTTTGGCGCTATTATATGCAGTCAAAATTCGATAATTAATATTAATTGATCTCGTAATTGTGATTGAACTATTTAATTAAAGCGCCTTGTATGCATTATTTGATAATGCTATGGCCCAGGGATGCGTGCACTTCATTTGCTGGATTTTTCAAAATGAAAATCGACCCCTGCCAATATTATTACCTACTATAAGTTGATTGTAGGAGTAACTCGTTTACTACGGTATATAATTAGTTTGATGTTTATTGTAACCTGCGCCATCCCGGTGTTATTTTGGTCCAATGGGGGGTACCTACCTATTTCAGTTCGGCTTACAAAATTAAGTCGGAAATGACGGCGTTTGATATAAACGGTCGCGAGCGCGCGTAGTCATGCTTTGCTAGTTAGAATGATTGCTTTCATTTAAAGGTAAGCTCTCCTATTAACTTGATTGTTGTGTGCACAATAGATATGCAGTGTGAAAGCTTAGTTACTTATAATAACGCAATTCTAATTCGAATTCCAATTAGAGTAGTAATTTGAGAAAGTTTAGGATCTTGATCAGTATCTATACGCCTGTGACTAACCCATCCCCTGTAGAACCTCATTGCATTGCAATTACGAGTACAATTCACAGCCCGTGCAAGCGTTCCCAACTTGCATGTCGCATTACCATTTTTTTTGCCTTTTAAATTCTACGACTAATGGCTAATTCCGTCCAGGATATGCATACGGAAGTTGCTGAAAACCAATTAATTACCAAAATCTATTTCCATTATAGGTTTTAAGACATAACTAATCTGGCTGAAAGAGCACTTGATATCTATCAGATTTAATTATAGACATAAAACTTCTCAAATCGAGAGAAAAGCTCTTACCACTTTAAATTTCTTTTAGTAATTTTTACGAAGCAATCAATTTTTCGCACAAGCACTAACTTTACTCACCTTCATTTGCATAACATTTTACGTAACATTTGCGGCAAAATTTGACCAAATTTATTGGTTCCTCGATTAGCTTTTTCGGATAATGGTCCATAGGATTGTCTTAATGGTAGGAATTAAATTATACTGCCACAAATCATCCACTGTACAAAAAAACCAAAGAGTGGTATCAATCAATGTCAAAATAGGTGTTATTACACCTGTCCAATTAAAGGACTCGAAGCTGAGCGGCTTGTGTTTAACTTAATCCACTAAAATAGCGGTGCTCAAAATATGTATGAGTAGATACACCAATATTCCTGGGAAAAAGATCTGTCACTCGAATTTCTGATTTATTTGGCGGAAAAGTTCGTCCGTACCTGTATAATTTTTCGATAGTTCTAGATACGAAATTTACCACACGCTGCTTTTAGCTAAAAAGTTTGTTTACTGAATTTTCATAATAAACACTTATGACGCCCTGCTGGTCCAAAATACCCTATCGCTATCTGTCCTGGATGCGTCCCTACTCTTTTTTAAATATCTAACTCGCCGATAAAATGGCTCTAACAGGTTAAATCAGCCCATCTTTAATCATTTATCAATTCTTCGTTTGCTTGCCCCAATCATGTATACAAAAGTCGTCTGTCAAAACCAACGGGCGTTTAAACACTGCAAATTCACACCGCTCATAAAAACACTACGGGTCATTCTGACTGAGCTGCTTTGGTTACGTAAAATGCGCACCTTTTTAAACCCAAACTCGCACTCATTGTATATTGAATTCAATCAGTTACTACAGTCGGTACAGATAACATACTAAAACTTTTCGAACTTTCTGTGTTACGACGACGAAATTCTCCGGAAGCACCGTGGCTTCGGTTCACTTTCACAAAAAAAACACAATTTAAACTGTATACTTAATTACAAAATGAAATTTACTGACTGCAAGAACAAAACATCCAGTGGTAATTTGCAGGATGAACTGCGTAGACGGTAACGGCGATGAGAGTTGGCGGAACGGCGGCAAGAAACGTCGGAACGGGGGTGCTTCGGACGCCACCAGAAGGTTCGGAAGCCTTGCTTCTGGTCAGGATTCTGAACGGCGTTGTCGGGTGCTCTGGAATTCCCGTCTCGTACGATTATACATTCGATATGTTCAAACAAATTAAAACGGTTTTTAATTAATTACGCCTTTCCCCGACATCGGAAAATATGGGACAGGCGTCAAACTTCAAATTTGTTAAGAGGGCACACGGATGTAATCTCGACTTAATCGGAGGTTGTTACTGTAATCCATTCATCTAATTACGGATAATTATATTAGGAATGTGAGGTCAATCGGCGCAATCTGTTATCACGTTGTCGTTGATATTTTCGTTAAACTGCATGACCTTGCCGGTTTCAATCCTGGATTTTCGTATACTATTAGAAAATGATTCTCTCTCTCTCTCTCTTCTTCTTATCGCAATGACCAGAGATAACATGAGATAAACTTTAACAAAACATTTCACGCAACTCGCTTTGAACAATAAAATGAGTAATGGAAAGGTGATTATATAAACAAAATTAAATACTATTAAATCTAATAAAAACAAAATTGATCTCGAATTCAACTAATATGATCGAGTCTTGTGTCCAATCTCAAATTATAACAAACTTTTAACGTTAAAAATAATTGAAATGCACCTACAGAGTGACCCATCATCAAAACGCCCGCACGACGTAGTTTGCCATTATATTATGTTGCTTAGCATTTGTCCTGTCGCCCAATTTCATCCGCGACTGAAATCGGATCCCTAGGCCAAATCGGGTTTAGGGATCAAGTTGGTTCCGCGAATCAAGTCGGGTTTCCAGTCTGGACTCCTTCTACTATGCGATCAAAAATGAGTGAGTCACCTTTGGAATTTTTGTTTACATGGACTATTTTTTTAAAATTTTTTATTTATTTCCCGTTCAGATTAGGTACATTAGTAATATAGGGTCGTCAGGAGAGACTTAACTTGAACTTCGACAGCAACTCATTTTTCATCGCCCGGTATTTCTGGGACGAATCAACATATTACACTGCCACTAAATAAAATATACAAATGTTTAGTTCCTGGCAAGAAAATGATGAATCAAAGATTTTGCATTACCGCTTGCCCAAAATGTGACCCGAAGGGAAAAAACACATCTAGACTGCATTAATGTAGAATGTACTGGGTGGCCAAATGAGAATAGCACGCCGCTGTGTCTCAGAAAATAATAAAGATAGACCTTTGGATTACGTTTTTACGAGTATATAAGTTTTGTTAAGAGAAAATGCTGAAAATTACTTTTAGTTGAAATGAAATGATATTATCCAAAACGATTTATCCTAAAAATTGAAAACCGAAAACAGAACCGACTACAACCAGCGATCCTCTGTTTTTTACATATAGATAATCATATGCCTGGAAGCGTCCCTACCTCTCTGTCGTGACGGTTTTTAGAACCGTCAACACTGTCGAGTTCGGGCACAGCTTGTGTTTGACACGAAACGCGCACCTTTATCGCTCGTATTTCTAGACATACTTCCGTTCAAGTTTACTATGAAGCGGTATACGTGTAAATTTCCCAATGTTGGACGAAGTACAAATTCAAAAAACTAATTTTCAAAACTGCAAAGTGGACACCCGTTACAAAAATCAATCGAATAATATTGCCTGATTGATATGTTAAAATTGTTTTATGGTTCAAAATGCGTTTTCAAAATAAGTGGAAAGTGATCTATGTTTTGAATGTGTGCGAAATGTAAGCATTGTTGTTAGGGTGTGTTCTAATGCTGGCCAAGGAAATAAAGCACGATTACTTGATTTCGGCATTTTTGGACAAATAGCCATTCAGGCACGTGATGAACATCTCTAGTGTAATTTTAAACCCTACCAAGTTTTCGAAAATCCATGAAGTTGAAAAAAGTAGGAAGTAGAATCTTTTGATGACTCTCTTCCCTTAATTAACCAGATTGAGAAAAATACACAGGCGCATTTTGCACTATTACTTTCCGAGATACAGGTACATCCATCAAATACTTCACTCTTCCTTATACTTATATACGCCGTTCCTCATGCTCCGTTAGGACGCTTTTTAGAACCGACAACACTGTGGCGTTTCGACTCTTATCTATTGCACACTGGTTTCTTATCTCAACGCGCTTTATTTTCTCGCATATAGTTGTGTTCTCTTTCATTATGAAGCTGTACACGTATAAAATTTAGTATACCGGCAATTTTGTAAAAATCAAAACCAACATTTTCTAATCTAAAGCTACCATCTGTAACAGAAGGTATCAAACGAAATTTAATTTCCCATGTATTGACTTGGTTTTTTTTTTAAATTCAGAAGTGTATAACAGTATACTGTGTGTAAGCAATTACACGCTCCTATAACGCCGATTTCGTTAGGTAATTGCACAAACGCATTCTTTCGATGTCCAAGAAGTGAAATGAGCATGTTGGCATGCAACATTTCTATTTATTCCTTGATTTCGTCCGAAACACGCGGAAATCAATTTTCAATGACCACGTTCGTTTGGATCTCAAAGTGACAAAATCGTTATTTTCATTGATTTTGTTGGGAAAACTTTTGAAATTCTAGCTTGATGTCAGTTGATGAAGTTTTGGACATAACATTGAGATTCAGTACGTCATTGAAATGCTCTTAAGAAAAAGTAGAATTGATTTCGGTTTTTCGTTTGCACCTTTTACAATTTTGCACAAGAATGTGATTTCTCTATTTTCCAAGATCCTTTTTGTTTCTAAAAACAGTTTACCATAAAAATCAACATGCTCAGGGTATCAATTTAAATTTCTAAACGTTGACAGCATAACTATCTCCTTTCAATTCGCGCAAATTGCAAGAGAAGAAAGTAGGTAGGTAATTAATCTCTCCAAATTGTTTAAAGATATAACTGTAGCTTTCCATTCTCGCAAAAAAAGCAGCCAATTTTACAGTTCCAGCCAATTTGACCCCGTGTGTCATTAGGTTCGTTCGTTTGTGTGTTCTGAATTGGTTCTATTGGACATTTTTGTTCTAAAAGCGTTCGTTTGTAATTGTAACTAGAAAAATTGACCGTTCGTTTGTATTCAGAACCTTGTTCTGGACATGTACTTTCAGTTCTAGATCAGAAGGATTGGTTCTTTACCGGATAGACTAGTTTCGATTTGCAAACTTACAACTATGATTAGCCACTACCGGTCCGAGTAAGTACCTTAAATTATTTAAGTGGGTTAATAATATTACTCTCGCAGCTCGCTCGCCTTCTTTCGTATAATTCGTATGCAAAACTCCAAATGACTTCCAAATAAAGTTGTGTTTTTAATGGCAGAAAAAAGATTATCCCGATCGTACCTGATCGGGTGTGGGCCGCTTTAGCGGTAAATCTCCCTACTCACAACGATAATTACCGCTCCCACTCAATATAGCGAACAGACCGCGAGATGAGTGCGAGTTATCCAAATTTGAAATAATCTGCATTCGAGTTGCTTTTGCGTGGGTGATCTGTAAACATTTTTTATGCAAATTGCTTGAGCACGCCGAGGGATGGGCTAATAAGGGGTATGATTTTGAATCCTATTTTATTGCCTGGTCTAATCTTTATTGGTGTTGGGTAATGGGTAGTTTTCATGTCATAATTACGTGAGATATGAGGTACAAATAATTGCCTAAACTTATCTTTACATCGCGTTGATTATCCGACAATTACGCAGTATTCGTTTCATTGTGGTATTTTCACCCTAAGGCTTTAAAATGCTCAAAGGTGCCGTATGATTGTTAATTTTTTTATTGTTTTTGATTAGTCCAAAAAAGTATTTTTGCTCCAGTTGGTTGATAAAGTAACCGCGAATGAATTTTAGGTAAGCAAACTATTGGCTATTAATTACTCTTTAGTCTTCAGCTCCCCTAGCAAACGCTTGTGTTTAAACAAAAATGTTACTTTGCTTACATTATGTAAATATAGCACAGGGACGCACTCTGTCTGGAAGAAAAAATCCAATTACTTTCATTAAGTGTTTTTGGCGAATGTATTTCATTTGCGTTGACGAGGTATGAAAAATTCCCTCCATTAATCATTCCGTATATGGACAACGTGACGGACAGATTCATATATTGCCTTGACCATAAAATAATAATTAAGCCGAGAATTAAGCATTTGTCATTTCAGTCTTCAAACAATTTTAAGCTTTACTTATGGAGTTATGCTAGTGCAGTACCTAAGCGTTATGTGCAATTTATTTACTTTGCAATTAGAAAGTGTTTTGACGGTAGTAATTAAATTACTACACTTCCTCGTTAAAGAATCATATAATATAAACGATTTGATTTCATTAACATTATTGAAAATCCGGCCTTGGCAATTATGGTTAAAATTGACCCAGATTTTTTATAGTTATTTATGCACCCGCTTCTAACCATGGAGTTAGTCATGGCTTGCGAAAAGTGAAGTTGTGAAGTCTACCTAACTTACTTTTCAAGGTATGCAGTAAGAATATGAGAGGCCATTTCTTACAGTTTTAGCTCTTTTTTTTAAAGAAAAAAAGAGTTGGCTGTAACTCCATTAACGAAAAGACGGTGGCGAATTATTCAACTAATAAAGATTGAAGATAAATTAGACTTCGCCAATTCCTAATGCGCGTCCAGGACAATTCGTCACGTAGAACTCCACCTTGTAAATTCGCCCCCTGGGAAAACTCTCGTATATTTCATGTTTTCCGCAGATACGGGAGCGATTTATTCTAGGCGCGAATTTTCCGGAAACGAATTGCCTTGGGAGCGAATCGTCCGGGTGTGAATTGTCCTAAAGCGAATTATCAGCACACCTGTCTGAGGATATCTACAGTCTTCGGATCAAAAGGAGAAAAACGTTTTTGAAATATTGCTTTCATGGTTTTTCTGGCTTATTAAAAAACCCATTTTCAATTTGCAGAATTATGAAAACGATAAATGCTCTAAAAATATTCATTTTCTTTCCTCAAATTTGTCTCCCTTTTATTTGATATTTTATTGAGTTGAATTTTTTGCGATTTTTCCCGTCAAATTACGCGATTTCTATGTTGAAAAAGAGTCAAGGTTTCGAAAGCATAATACCCAAACACATGTTACTCATGGTAAGTTCAAGTATTCATTTAGTCGACACGAATAAAAGTGAAGTGAGCTTTCGTCTTCTCATCGTTATCAATGGATTGATTGTTCTAAATCGTATTTGTCGCCTCATTGTTTGGCTATGGTTTTGAATTACACGCTGGAAATTAGTTGTGTTCTGTTACTTCTACAATTCATCAATTTAAATCATTGACAAAAAATTTGACATTGCAAAATTCGAAAGCTCTAGAAACCGGTTGAACCAATGAAAATTAATTAAAGAACGCCGCCATTGCCATTCCACGTTGAGTGGGCGTTAAAAAAGTACTAAGTAGCTAGAGAGGGTACAAGATTGAGGCATTCTTCAATTTCCAAACTTCCAAAAATGTCTTGGTTTTCGGGAGACTACATTTGACAATTTGAACTTCTGTAATTTTTAGTGTGGTGTCTTTATCTTGAATTAATTTTCTTATAGGCTTCTTGAAACTTGATCATTACATATACAATTTACAAAAAAACCTGCCTTGCTATCCTGCTAAATTCAAAACATGTTTAAGAGTATCAATCCTAATTTGTGGTCATTTTAAAATTTCAGAAACCCCTTTTATAAAATCATTTATTCCGCCACTGGTAGCGATAAGTTTCAATCCTAACTTCTGCGATCCCTCTTTCGTATATTTAAATGGTTACTTCGCAAGATTTGTAATGGTCAATTTTCCATTTAAATTCTACTCACGTAGGTACGCGAACCGATTTTTTACTTTTATTTTGAAACGCCAGACCCTTACATAGAGTTAATTCGAGCTGCGCGTTCACTTGTAACGGGTTAGTTACATTTACAGGAGTACGCATAAAATAAAATTGAATCTCTACGGCACTGACAGAAATCCAATATAACAATTCATTTTTTTATACCCCTTGCGGAAGCCTCTTATCTCCTTTTAATAAGATGTGAAATTCTAAGTGTAATGTTCTGGTTCGATGGAACTCAATAAATACTTTAGTTGATAGAGTAAGCACAAAGACAATCGAGTTCCGATTTTCTTTATACGTTCCTGTATGCAAAATATTACTTTGGCTCATAAAATGCCCCTTAATGCCAAGCATAATTTTAATCCGACCAAAGGAATAGTAACACTGAAATTAAATGCAAATAAAATTCCCAATCACTGAAACAAAATAATCAAAATCCTTTGCCCCGATCTAATTTTGATCAACTACTGAAATACAGTACAATACAAATGGTCTGTTAGGTCGATTTCTTCAGGAATATCAAAGGTATTTTCAAGAAAATCAATATGCAAATTCCTAAAAATAACCAACCACTAATTTATACAATGAAAAAGAACTCAAAACAGCTTAACAGTAACTGACGCGGATGAAATTTCCTTCAGGAATTGATATAACATACATATGGAAATTTACTGCTTCAATGGCCGTTGACTTTATGGTGAATGCCAAGCAAAAATGTCCATACATATTTTGAACTCCAACAAACTAGCTCCAATTTCGCGAAAATAATACGGTTTATTGTTATGCACTGGAATAAAGTGCCAATGTTCCTTTGTTGATATTAAAATTTTGCCCAATTATGAATTAATTAAACTAAGTCAATGCACCAATTAATTGTTTTTAAGTTCCCTATCGAATCACGTTATGTACAGAATATTATTTATCGCGCAGGTGTTTTCACATTTTTGAAAAAACAGCTTATAACTGGCTGTTACCATTAGCGACATGAAAGAAAAAAATTCTCACAACCCACAACCAGTAGGTACATTGAATGTCGTTTTTATTTGGAGGGCAGGTGTATCTAGAACCCCAATTAAAACTGATTGATTGATAAGAAAAATGTTAAAAGATTGTGACCCATCTTGGATAGGTACTTGGTAAATTTCGGAAAAATGATCCCCTTTATGTACTTAGATGCTACTTCTTTATAATGTTATATAACGTAGAAAGATTTAGTAGCAAAGAACCGAAATTGGTTTAGCTTTAGGTAAGTATATTTTCGAACTTCTTCTGGTACACCTCGGCATTTAAAGACTTCGGTAGGTGACCTCCATGAATCTTCTTTGTTTTACAGTCTAAGATTCTGATTGTGGCAGTCGAGAGCTAATTGAAAGATGGGGTGAATGAAACGCCACCATTCGCCATTGTAGCAATTTGAGAAAGTGTAGTGAATTGTTGAATTAAAAATAACTCACTGTGTTAAAATAAAGTGTGATTTTCAAAGATTTTTATGGCGATGATGTTAAACCGATTTAAAATTATCTTATAAGTAGGACGGAGGGTGTGGAATTGAAATTGTTTGTATCTGCTACCTACGTAATTGCTATAATTGCCACTATTATAGTTAATTTGACAAGGTTTCGATTACCTATAGATTGAGAACGAAGTTTGGGTTAATCTTGGAATAGTATCTACGCATTATTTACGATTGAAATTCTTCAGGTGTACAAAACGTGTAATTGCGCCCACGACATGTCTTCAGCTCCTTTCGCTAATTGCGGTGGTAAAATGTGCAAGAGTTATTATTAGAAAAAATTGTGTAGTTTTATTGATGCGCGTGTACTTCCAACTGGGTAACCAGTATATTTTTAGGTCAATTAAGAGCACATTCGCTGTAATCCCATCTGGTAATATACACAACTTGAATGGGGGAAACAATACGAGTTGTTCTAAATTAAATGTTAGTTGCATGTGTTAAGGCTAAGAACAATGTTTGTTATAGAAGACGTTAATCATACTTTTGGGCCCTTAGACGGAAGTATCTACGCCACCATCGCCAAGAAGCCGGAACTTTCGCCCGGCGCAGTTTCTAGCCCTCTCACTGTGTCCATGGACTCGGGCATTTCGTCTGCAGGTTAGTCAATAGTTTTAAAATACTTTTACTGGGAACAAATATTTAACCAACAATAAAAATGTAGAGGTTTACGTAATTATTAACTGTGCACTTGTCGGTATTTCCTTTGTGTAAACGCTTGGGATGACATCACATATATCTTCCATCATTAGTACATTCTGTAAATAAAGTTCCTTGCAAAATCTACTTGTTTATAGTCATTACTAATTTTGATTGCCTACTCATCGAGGTAATTTTGAGTAATTCTTCAGATAAGGGATCCGCGATTTTACCGCAAAAAATGTCAACAAAATGAGGACGCAAATCTATATTTACTGTATGTTTTTATTTGTAAAATTACGTTTTTTAGAATCATTCCTTCCTCGCAATGGTGACATACTTCCTCCGACATTGCGGTATAATTAACTGGCGTTTGGAAACCAAATAAATATAAGTGCAATTCCACGTTTATACCATTTTTATTGGCATCCTAACAATGTGATTGGTGTAAAAATAGAGTAATTCGTTGTGCGTGTGTTAATTTTGAAAGTATGGTAAACAAGTAAGTTGATATAAACAAATTAAACCTACTGATTAACTTTTTAGGTCATTTAACTAAATGTATTGTTGCTTTTAATTATACAAAAAAATAATTTAAGTGACCGCATCGTCGTTTATTAGCTTGACTTGCATACAAATTAATACTACGGTTCGCCCCAATTTTATGGGGCGTGAATAAACCGCAAAGAACAATTGAGGGTTTCGTACCCAGAACGTTAAACGGCCGTTTTATGCCAAACTGCGAAAGTTACATAGTTGTGACACGCCTTTTAGGCGTTTAACATGAATTTTTTTAAAGGTGGGTAGATTTAGCACTCAATTATTTGATAATGAACTAGTCCGCTCAATCAAATTAGTTTTCTTTATTATTCCATACCCGGTAGTGAATTAATCGGTTTGATCAATTATTTGATTATCTATAATCAAATATTCCATTCATCGAATGAGCATAATTTGATGACTGCTTCTTTTGCAATGATAGTGCCTTGTTCTTTGATTTGAAATGTAATTATTTAGTAATCATTTTTCCCAAAATATGTACATGTATTCTATTAGTGTTTGCCAATAAATAAAATTTAAAAACGATGAACAATAATCACTCATAAAAATTGAAGGAACGAGATAGTAGAAACAGCCATAGCGGAACTGGGGAGCGGTTCGTGCACTGCAATGAAGCATTTGCTACATCTTGCTAAAAAACCATTTTCGATGCCGATGTCAAGTATAAGAACTCTTTCCTCAGCTCCAGAAGATCGTGTGATTCCTCCTTTGTACCCATTTATTTATTGAATAGTTTTTCGATATTGGTCAAAGCCAGCAGGTTTATTCTTGGTCACAAATTCAACTCAACCAAATTTCTTGAACCACACCAGAAGTAAGAAAACATTCCAACCCTTCTATCCATATCGTTTAATGGCGTACATCTGCTCTTTTAGTCTGGCAGCGTTCGCTATGTTTAAACTGCTTTGCCCTAGCCCTAGACAAATTAAATATTTGAACTGATTTTTTTTGCTAATTCCCAACCATTTGGAAGTAAGTTTTGTTACCTGATTGAGCAGAACTCTGTCTACATAATACTTTTTTCCCTCTTGGTAGTAAAATTTCACCTTTAAAACGATCTCCTTAAACTCCATGGAATTTTAACGTGGCATTTTGTTCCTTATTACACATCTTATTGTACGTAGTGACAACAAAGGCTTTAATGCATCTCTGGATTAGAATTGTGCGTTTGTATATTTGAACTTAAAAAATACGACCATTAATCGATTTTTGTTTCTTTGAATATAACGATTCGAGAATAATTATAATGTCTTGACCATGGGCATATTGTGTCTGTATTTAAAGATGAAACACGTAGATAAGTATTTTTCTAATTTTTAGGCTCAGACAAAGCGAGGTTGTTCCTTTAGGTCGTTGTTGGTGTGGTGTTTTTCCGCATTTAAGCATTGAAAGTTTTGTTCATTATCTGGTGTTGGAGATTAGAAATACAACATAAATTTCAAAAAAGTGCTGCAGAATGCTATACGGTACCCACCAAGTAACTATCATAGAAGAATAATTAGTTGTACAGGATGGTTCAAATTGGACACTTTCTTATGGAAACACCCTTTATTTTAAGAGATAGAAAAAATGGATCTAGATATCTGGAGCTTAATTTTAAAGGGCAAATCACTGGCGAAAACAGAATTCAGCTATCTCTAATCGTTTGGCCGCTAGGGACGTTTCCCGAATTTAGTCGATTTCTTTGATGCCCCATAAGCTTCTTATTATTAAAGATAATTGAGTTTGACAAAATTTTTTTATGTAGAATCTATCGCAATACACAGTCTTTATACAGGGTTTTTCTTATACGACTTTAAACTACATATATTTTTTCATATGGACCATCCTATATATTTTGAAGTTTTTGAAAAGAGTGTAAAATTTCGTATGATGTTGTAGTACATATTTATTAAAATATTTTTATTGCAGGCATCTAGGTTTCCATGGTGAACAAAAAGTGGGAGGATTGTTTAAAACGACAATTTCTTAATTATCTGCATTATTTATTTATATATTATATTATTTATTTGTTTTAACGTCCTTTGTTTTTTATGTGTTATTTGAAATTAAAAATATTTGCAAGTGCAACGAATAAAAATTTCCAAATAACCAAGAAATTGTCATTTTAAACACTCCTGCCCGCTTTTGTTCGCCATGGAAACCTAGATGTCTGCAGTCAAAATATTATTCCTATAAATATAACAAGTGATATATCAAAATTTAGGAGATTTTACGGTCTTTTCAAAAACGTCAAAATATTTAGGATGGTCTATATGAAAAAATGTAGTTTAAGGTAGTATATGAAAAACCAAACACCCCGTATATAAACTGTGAATCGATAAAAGTGCCCTAAAAAACTTTTGCCAAAATCGATTATCTTCAATAACAAGAAAGTTCTGGCACATTAAAGCAACCGACTAAATTCGAGAAACGCCCCCTACCGGCCAAACGATTAGAGATAGCTGAATTTTGTGTGTGACAGTGATTTTCTCTTTAAAAGTGAGCTCCGGGCACTTCCTGTTTCATCTTTAAATAAAGAAACAAATCAAAAGAAAAAATTTAAAGAATGAAAATTAGAACAGAATGAAATAAGAAGTACGACTGTATAAAAAAGTAAACAAAAGTCTCCCTCGACTAGGAAAAATTGGTCTCTCACGATCGTGAACGTCCTGATAGCTAAGCGACATTGTATCAGTGAAAGTTACTTGCGTCTTGGAGAAAAAGTGTCCCTTTGGTGTAGAATGTTTGGTGTACCTGTACTCTGGGCGAATCTAATGTTTCTCAGTAACACCAGGTCACGCTACTACTAAGACAGCAAGTAAGGAAAGATCCAAAATATTCTAAAATTATAATCACCCACCACTGGTTTCAGGTTTGCAGCTTTTGCTGAAGAAACCATGGGACTTTTAATGGCAGGAAGCAATAGAATCGAGAATAGAATTGATTAACTATATTAGAATACCTACCTCTAAAACATATTATTTCTATGGTGGAAGTACTTTATTTACGATATTATTGTAATATATTTTACACATTTCTTAAATAATTAAAAAATTAAATTAAAAATTTGCTGTGGTTACTCGTACTTGGTTATTACGTCACTGGTTACGATGCCAACTTGGTGACTACGAAAACATTAATTTGTCTAATTTCAGAGCAGTGATTTGCAAGGGATTATTTATAATGTTAATATTTTTACTATCTTAACTTAAACGTATTTCATAGTCGCGGAGATAATTAGCGCCTAATTGGGATCACGTTTTTTAAATCACCTTATTCGGAGATGCCCACGCATCTGTTACTACATTTCATTTCCATGTAAATGTCTCGTATTTTATTTTTATATCATCATCGAGTTACTCACGTAATTAATAAAATTAATTACCTTCATGTTTGGCTACTACACTAAAACCTATGATAAAAGCTCACTAGCTAGGCCACTGGTCTAACAACAAATGCATGGCAAAGGCTCGCTTTTAGTTTATGCTACGTCAACCTAAATTGTTCGACTTAAATGGTATGGGACACTGGTCAGTACACTAATTCCATTTTTTCACCACAGGTCACCAGCAAAACGCCCACACTAACGCCTCTACGAGTCCCCCACTGACAGCTCAACCGTCCCCACTGACCCCAGAAGACCAGCATCGAGAATTGGACGAGCTGCTTACGGATATGATGTTAACAGTACAAAGTATACCCGATGTAAAACCGCGACAGTCACCTTCTGTCACCAACGGTACAACCTTCAACTTGGACCATGTTAAGTACATAGACGAAGAAGAGGATAAAAACATCCCCTATCACGCGCGTCATGATAGTCGCCCGTTTAGTTACGGTGTTAACTCGAGCATGATCAACGAGGGTAAGGGACTTTCGAGTCCCAGTTTAGTGCGCAAGGCGAGTTTTAATAAAAGTTCCGGTGATACGTTAAAGAAAGTGCAAACGCAAGTGTTTCCGGATTCCAACTTTTCCTCGTACCCTTCCGGCTACCCGACGTACAACACATCAAAATATGGCACCTACTCGACGTCCTACAACAAGAAAGATCCAATCGACGATATCTTCACCGTTAGCGCTTTAAATTCGAATCGTCAGCCATATCGGCGCGAATACAGGGAGGAGTATTACAAGGATGAGGTGAAGAAATATGAGCCGATGAAAAGAAGTCTCACAGACGGTAGCCTGAGGAGGACTCCGGAAAAGGTACACGAATACAAGACGTCAAGCTCGCTGGTTACGAGTCCATATTCCGATGGTGAGAATTTGTCACCTCCGGGTGCGTTCAGGAGCTCGCCAAGATCGCCCGAGTTTCACGAAACGTGAGTATAAATTTTAAATACACCTTGGCACATTCTTCGCGGCTTAGGCCGGCCTTGAACTTGTAATTTACTGACCATATGTTTTCATTGGCCCATTTAATTGATTTTGCGTATAGGGTAAAATTGCTACACAATTTGTCGTATTTAACCTACATTCGAAGCGAATGGATTTCCAATTACGTTTTAATCTTTCGTTGATCAATGCCATACGTGCTTATTGAGAAAAGAGACGCGAGCACGCATTAAAAGGTGTTACGCAATGATAGGTAGATTGATCAGTTGTTTTTTGCTATGCAATTAAATGAAAGTTACAACTTTTGCATAGAACCGACAGTGAATGCGAAATCCTAGTTTCAAGGATTTTCACTTTTGTACGTAATCCTCAGTATCTAAATACCCACCTACAAATAGCATGCAATTAGCAAATTTTTTACCTCTTTGTTATTTGCTACCAATGAATAATAGCTTATGCGTTTCATTTACTTATTCTACGTATGACATTCCACTACTTATAATAATAAAAGACCAAAAGAAAAGACCTTTAAAGGTCATCTAGAAGCGTCCAGCATGGTCCAGCAGCAGCTTAAAAAGCTTCCAGCTTGGGAGCCTGGGGCCTTCTTTACTGAAGTCTTGATTTGTCTACTTCACTTTTGACTTCACTTCACTTTTAGGGTGAATCGAACGCCCTGAGTGTAGTAGTTCCAGTACCCCTATCCATTGAGGATATGAGGGAGAATGGTGCATGAAGGGTGTAACTAGCACTACTTGAAGAGTAACAGAATTCAGTGTTACAACGTTCTAACGGCGGACATAATTATGGAGGTGCTATAAAGCATATAGTTTAGTTGGGACGTATTTGGAAAAAATGCGGACTCGAAATTTCGGCCTTGAGAGGAGTGAATTTCGAGAATCACAAACCAGCTGATCATCTCCTTGTTTTCAGTGAGGTATTGAATACCAGGGTTTGCAAAATTACAGTGATTTTTTTGTTAATTTATTTTCCATTAATGTTCGTTTTTATTTTTTACGGCTTTATTATAGATTATTTGAAAAAAAATGAACTTTTAATGAAGACATATTATAATTATCTGTAAGAAGATGCGACGTTTCGGTTTTTAGACACCATCATCAACTTCATTTTTCTTAATACAGGTGGATTTTCTTCCATTTTTGAGTAGCCAAAAACTAATGATGTATGACACTTACTGCTATCTCTGTTCGATACAAGTTATTTCAAGTTTCTTTCAAAATCGAATAGTAGTAATCGAAAAATTAACTTGAAATAACTTCTTGGCGCCATTTTGGTTTTTTAAATAGAAATATAACCTTTTTTATTTTTTCCTAAATACGCTTTTTTATACTGAATTTAACGCATTTAAGATTAGCGTACAAATCTGTCATAGTTTTCGACATATGTCAATTTTTCTTTAAAAATATGGAGATGCAAGGGTCCATTCAAAAATTCGTATCTCTTAAACCGTTCAAGATAAATGAGTGCTCTTTTTTATAATCGAATCCTTAAAGTATAAGGATTTTTTTGAATGACCGTTGAAAGCTTGCAGGGCTGCTGCGATTTTTCAAAATTAGCAATGTCAGTTCAGTTTTTCAAATTACCATATTTTACTAATTACTATTTCCGATACCAGAAATGAATGTAGATTTGAATTTTAGGGTCACTTTTATAAACATTCTGTATGTCCATATTCCGGTAGTTTTTGGTTTGAAAGAAATTTTCTTATTTTTTTACTCTTTTTTTAATTTGATGTGGTAAGTAGGCTTTGGAAGCAACCGTTTCGTTGTGTCGTTAACCCATTTCCAAAAGGACAATGAACCCTTTTATCCTCCAGTTTAAACTTTATACCGTTGTGGTTTCTTTCTTCTACGGTGTAGCACAGTCTCGAAATCAGAACGACAAAAGATTTTTTTGGATTAGTCACTTCCTTCCCGAGTTATTACTGATTCAGTGCGGGGAAAATGCGCTTTCTTTGGTCGCGAATGACCACGTCTATACAAGTTTTTTGTTTGTTATTTATGGTGAAAATAGTAGAGTAGTCAGAGATGTTATTGATGTTAAAGAATAAAACCAAAGAGTACCCCTCTATGATAAAACCTGTAATCCACCCTATACGCCCTATAGTACTCCCGAGAGTACTCCTGAAAAATATACAGTCTGACCTAGCCACATTCAACCTCGGTTCACAGACTGGAGGACGTAAAACAACACTGCGCCCTTCTGAAATGTTGGGTCAACCTAAATCGCTCTCAAATAATGCCAAATACCTATAACACCTACTAAAAACTCAAAATCCGGAAATATGAGTCGATGACACAAAGTGATAAACTAAGAACCAAATGAAATTCCTAATTTGTGTTAAAATAAAAATGAGACATTCCCGAAGCTGAAGAAATTATTCGAACTAGAATATAAGCTAATATACAAAATCTTTATATTCTACAGGAAAGACTGTACTGGGCTGAGAACCAAGTACCGCGACATCTGCATTATGTAATGGGTAGTTCCCAAGGCTGAAATTCCCGCTCGTAGTAATAATTTTGGTTTCAAAATCATGTTACTCTGTTGCAAAAAAATGTATATCGTTGGCTACCTCAATATAAGGGAATTTTTTAAGCAAATTTTTTTAAGGAGAATGTACCTTTTCTCTATGACTAAACAATTCCTCACCACTGCTTCAGATCACTTTACAGCATATAAAGACAAAACATTGTGTGATAAAAATGTCCACTACTGCTCGTATTTACTGTAATAGGCGGACACAAGGGAGTCATGACCCCCCCCCCCCTCCAAAAACCTTTGATGATTTTTTTATGTGTAATAAATAAAAATATAGTTGTAAGACTAATAGTGAAATGTGATTAACTGTCGTGATATTGAAATAATACAGTACAGAGTTACTGTTCAAAGTCATTTATTGACATAAAAAAGGGCCCCAAAACACGTTTTTGAAGCTAAAAAATACAAAAAATGTCGGAACTCCCCTTCACTGGGGCTGGGGGATGTGGAATATCCCCAGACTCACCGGTGTTTCAAGAATGCCCCCCCCCCCCATCCTATATCCGCCCCTGGGTTTACACACATTATTGTTAGAAGTTATCGTAATAGTTTCTAATTCGCAATTCTATGCGATTGTTTTATACGCACTTAAACGTTATTATCATAACCGCACGCATTTTTTTCGCAATCACTCAATTACCAATATATAAAACACCCTGCGATAAATTGCAGGTAGTTGACTGAATTGCGCTGGTAGTTCCACGCGAATTCGAGTAACACAAAATAAATCCAACCTGCGATAAATGACAGGTGGTTGACTTCCCTTCCCTCGTGCCTCAACGTGAAAACCACCACACGATGATCAACTAATCCTCTCGTGGTTCGACGCGCATTACCTTACCGTTCGCCCAGAACAATGAACTTTTTTGAGTGACACCCATTTCGGGACGCAAACCGTTTCCACCAAGAAATCTAATTTTTTCGTCCATAGATCGACTCAACGTGAAGTAATTTCTCGTTGAATCAGCAAAATTCATGTTACGCAGCAGCCTAGATTCCAAAATAAAGACTCTTTCCTGTTATAGTACTTTGAATAATCGTGCTACATCTCAAGATTGAGCGGTGCCGCGAGGTTTCACACGCATTTACAGTCAGGACCACTTGTGCAAAAACAAAGTCGAAAACATTTAAATCAAATAAAATCCGTTTATCCGTTCCCCTTTAAATCGAAGGACATGAAGCCATCAAGCGAGCGGACGGCGAGCAATGTTTTATCTATCATATAAAAGAAAACTGTTTTAAATTTGGTAGTAGAGTGACGATTAGAACTTGAAGAATCTGTTGAGATAGAAGTTCAATTAAAGGTAGACCTATCCAACAGATTTAGGTCGATAGTTATACGTTCATAAATAAAGATCTGCTTTAAAGATTCTGTCAGAGACAGGAAAAACAGTTAAAGGGGGCTATAAACGTGCAATAAATGCACATTTTTATTAGCATTTGCGAAATTTCATTGCTTCCGTACGTTTTTATGCGGAGTTATATTCTTAAAGTATTCTTAGCCGAGGTTTCTCTTTCTTGTAAGAGTTAGTAATGTATTATTCATATGAATATTAGAAGCTGGTTAAGAACGTACTTATACAAGTATCTATTACTACTGTCACAGATTGTATTTAATCTGTGCTACTGTCGAAGCCTACACCTTTTCCAGTTGTAATTCAAATTTAAGCAGGCACGTTGCACTTCCAATAATATCAATCAAGTCAAGGTTTTTATTTGTAATTCAAGATGTGGCATTACATGTATACAGTAGAATATTTATAAATTTTCGAATCAGAATAATGTAGGTAATAAACGAGAAAGATATTTAAAATATGGACAAAAGAGATCATTGTTACAATCACTATGTTCCGTTGGCATTGTCGTCTATAATGGTACTTCCATACCATATACAAAAATTTGGATTTCTGTTTTTAAAAATTCAATCAATATCTTTATAGTATATACAGGCATAGTGTAAGAATAGAAACTTTACACTAAGACACAGGTGAGGTACTTTACAGTTTACAGAATCCAGATGTTGTACGTTGGCTATAATACGATTAGCTGGTATTTTAGTATAGTTTTATTCAGGAAAGTAACACAATCGGGTAGTTCTTTTGATCGCTTTTCAAAAATGTATGTAGGTATTTTTTTATTTTGTACACAAAATTACCTTCTGTCATTGGGTTATTATCGTTTTCTTTTTCATTGTGTACCTAACTGAGAATTCTCTTGTGTTCGGAAGAATGGTAACTTCAATGCCATACCATATAAATAGAGGAACTATTGCTTTGTAATTGCGATAACTGCAAGAAAGAAGACTTTGTTTACTGGCCAAGGAAGAAAATGTGCAACTACCATAATTGGTTCGCGTAAATAAGATCATTGTGTCAAATCCTAAGAAATATCTCGAGGCCAACGTGAAATACCTCCGTATGCGGATTTTGTGGTGAAAGCTAGTAATTCTACTAAAGGGTTTGTCTTCCGACTTGAATGGCAATTACCCAGTAAGACATGCATTGCGAAATAATAAAAATCCTGCCGTTTAGTGTATTCAATAAATCCCACCTAATTACATAACATCGCACGTGTTTATTTCTTTTAATCGTAGCGTAAACAAATAATTTATTGCTACCTACTATCAATCTTGCACGTAAACAACGGCCTACCCGCCTACCTACTTCAAATGGAAATGTAATGAGTTGTAAACAAAAATGGATTTTCGGTGTAGCTCTAGGCACATTCGTTAGTATTGGGGTGACATTAAACTACTGATTGGTAAAAATGGTCTTGACCATATAGACTTGTAAAATTTAGGTCGAGGTTTTAACAAGGTTACTCTGTGTGGGACAAAAAATTCAAGGGTATCGCAAAACCGTAAAACGTGATACATACAAAATTTCTTTCCCCGCTCCAGTGTATTGCCCCCCCTGAAAAGGCAAATTTAATTTAGCAATTTTTTTTAATTCAAAAAAAGAAGATATTGCTAGATGTCTTTTAATATTTAACTTTAAGCGAGACTTTAGGCATAAGCACAGATCAACAATCTGTGGTTCAGCAAATTTGAATTTTTACACACTATACTAATATACAGGCAAAGAATACCTAATTACCAATTAGTTACTCTTTGATACAGGCACGAGGGCTGACAACAATTTGTAATTGTGATTCTACAGCTTATAATGGCGAACCTTATCGGAAACCCACTTTTATCTTGCCAGAAGTCATTTTTTTTTTAAATAAGGGACGATAGTAACATTTGTTAAAAATGCATTTTTCTTTCTCAAGAAATAGAAAACAGTAAATTTTCGAACTAAGTGGCTTTTCTCTGCTGTTGAAGAAACTTTTTTCCCACATTTTCATAAACTAAGTATTGATTTATTATTTTGATGTACTACATACCTTGGGGTGAAAATTGATCGAAAAGTATAGAAAGAACATAGCGAGTCCAGGAAGGCCACTTACTTGATTCTGAAGGCTTTTGCAATTGAAAATTTACTGGAACTTTCAGCCCACCAAGAACTTTCTAGATTTTTTGCAGAGCTTTATATGATCTTTCCAGTACTTTGTACGCACTCCTTCCAGGTATGTTCTATAGCTACCTATGTCCGGTCATAGTTTAATCATTACGCCTTGCCAAAGCCTTTTATGTCCTTTGAGACTTGTTTAGAGTCCTTACAAAACTTTTTATCCGCCTACTTTCTGTTCTATAAAGAAACCTTATAACTCTATTTCACGGCATTCTATTCCAGGAGCATTCTAATTCCAAAGGACCTAACTCTCTAAAAGTGTTTGGTTTTCCAGAAATGTTCAAGAGCATTTAGGCACTTTCCAAAGTTTTTAGGCCCTTACTAGAGCTATACACCTTTCGTTGCCCGTTCAACAGTAAAACCGCTTTTGGTTTATACAGCATCATTTTCAATTATCCTAGACTTCAGAGTATCGACAAGAGTATATGTCTAGGAGGATTTCAAAACAAACATCTTTTTTCATATAAATTAATTGTCCAAAATATTTTGTTTAGGAGCTACGTCTGCAAAAGCCCTAAAATTATAAACTTTTTCTTGTTAGCACGACAGAACCTTTTGTATAGCAAAACGTGTACTTTTTATTACTAAATATTGTTTACGGCGTCTCATAAATAAACCGTGTTGATTTTGCGCTCATTCCTCTTTGAAAATCCCCAGGGGAATATAAGAAAATGTACCTACCGAATCAACTTGAATGCGATTCTTTTGAAATTTCCTCAGGGACTCCTTGTATTAAAAACAAGTCCATTTCTTACGACAAAGACTGCAAAAATCGGAGGCTTTGCGCGCATGTGCAATGTGCATAGCTAATTCTTATTGTTGGTGCGATCTTACCACAGAATACGGGATCTTACTGCCACAGTGCCACTTCATTTCTCTTATGTCAATTGTCAAACATCCCAATTTTTGTCATTTGAACCAAATTTTATTGTTTTCATTTCATCTGTGCAAAGTTTGAATCGAACCGTTTACCAGAGATAGAGATTCGTGACCCCACGGGGTCATTGGATTTGACCCGTTGTCAATAGGCTTGTTACATGTGGCATATAGATCAACTGTGCAAAGTTAGAACCGAATAGTAGGTTCAAGCGTTTGCCAGAGACAGAGAGGCATGACCCCGGCCAAGGATACTATATAATATAAGGATTTCTCGATCACTGAATTTTTTCGCCGCGTGTAGTGACGTCACTCGCGGACCCAGTACCAGCGCATGCTTTGATTAAGGCCGATTCCCATTATAGCAGCATCGAGCAGCGCGGCGCGGTGAAAAGGTGCTCTCAATTGTTCGCATGTAAATAAGTAGATCCGTTTTCACCTAGGCAGAGCGGCGCGGTGTAGCGCAGCAAATTTTAAACGCGTCGGGAAGCATTGGAATACGCGGCGCTGCTTTGAAACGCGCCGCTCTGCGTGTAGACGGACAAGTGGGAATCGAGGAGCGAAGCAGATCGGCGTGGTGCTGCAGCTTGTGAAATATTTATTTCTCTTCTGTGTTGAGCTTGTGTGTGTTAGTGTATTCGCTATGGACGGACAAAGAATAGAAAAATTAATTGTACTCGTCCGCTTTCTTTTTTCGTCGTGTACATGGCATAGTGCCGCTATAAATATTATGAAATCATCTGGTGATGATGACGATGATGGCTCTTCTTCGAGCGTGTACGAATACATTCTCCCTTAAACTGAACACAAACAGAAACGCTGCTTCGTCACGCTTCCAAATGGTGCTTAAGTGGGAATACCCCTGTACAGTTTGCTGCTAGCGACGCGCCGCTCGGTGCTGCTCTAATGAGAACCGACCTTTAGGATTACCATAAAATACGTTCAAATGGGTGTTGTAGGCAGGCATTTAAATTAGAAACACTTGTCCATTAATCTCGCTTGCAGCACTATCCATTCCTTGCGTATTAATCCATCGGTTTTAGGGAAGTTATGGTAAATGACTTCCGGGTTAGTGATTTTTGTGTAAACACGGCTGTTGTTACAGTCTAATATTGCACATCGGCGTCCTGGCGTCCATTCAAATACGTTCACAACTTAGCAAATTATAACTGTCAATTCTGACAGCCAGGTCCGTTGGTGACGTCACATATGACTTAAACTTGGGCAACATTACAAGTATAGGGATCGAGCAATCCTTATATTATATAGTATCCTTGGACCCCGGCCATAAGAACTGCAGTGTTTTGTTTGTGCAACTAATTAAAAGGTTTCGGATTCACATTTATCGACCACCCTGTATACTGTCTAGTGTTAGACGTAGAACGTTGGTCCGTGCCTGAATGTCAGAACTTCCATTCGCTTTGTAATATGTGTTTGAAATTCATTCGGAAAATGAGTGATTAAATACTGCGAATTCCCCTTTGCTTTGCACAGATAGCAGACTCCTGCCCGTAGCATATCTTGCCAATTTAATTACGTCAAATAATTCGAGTTATGTAAATTGGTATATTGCAACCTAAATTCTCCTCCCGTGTACAATGCTAAACGTTTGCTCGATTTTATTGTTCCTGCAATTCGTCACATTTTATTTCTTTTACGGTTATGAGCAAAATACATACTTAATTTGTGTGCATTGTTTAGTATCTTTCTTTCTTGGGTAAGCACCCTGTACTTTGTTCTTGATTCCATTTTTCTTGGGCTGAAATTGTTTCCGATATACAAAAAAATCACAGTTGGCAAATATTCAAAATTAGGTTTTAGAATTCTATTTTTAAACAAATATAAATAAATCTGTCTCGATACCTCTCCACTAGACAGTTCTAAACATGATTATTTACGAAATATTGTTTGTTGATGACAATAGTGCACCAGTATTTAATTTACGAAAACGGAACAAAATTTAGATCAAGGTGAAGGTGCTCCTTACAAATAAATATACCTACTTCCAGAATGTGCCAAATCTTGCTCAACACACAAGTGTCTAAATTATTAATCTAAATTGTTTTCAGATATTCCACCAGTAATCTGACATGGCTGCAAAAGCAACAACTCAAGCTGAAAGAACGTCGAGAAATGCAGTTAAGAGAAGAACGTCAACCTCATGAAACTCGTCTTCTGTCAGAGTTGAGAAACATCCAAGCAAGACATATTAGGCCATCGGCAAGCCACCGTGCAGATGGATATACAAGCGACACAACAGCTTTCGCCGATGACGACGAAGATTTTACTGTTCCACTCCACATTAACACGACCTCCCGAAATGTTTCTTCGGTTAATTCACCACCAAGTGGGAAAACGATCTATTCTACCAATGAGAGACCTTTTATGTCAGTAAAGCGCATACACGAGAAGTTTGTTCAGGTACGACCGACGATAGTAAATAGCAAGAATTAATTAACCAATCACGAGACACTTGTACAGCACAATTTTCAAATAAACACTAACGTTATAGAATTCGACATCACCTGCATCTGCACTTATGGAAAATCCAATGGGACACGCGATAAGATCTCCTTCGAGAGGTGGTCCAGATTCCACTGACGGTCTTTTATCTTTAGTAGAACAGGAACAGTATTTTAAACAAAGCCCTCATCCAAGTAACTCTCCCTTGGTGGGTATTTCTAATTCTTATAAAGATACTGAAAGTCAAATTAACAAATCATCTCATGGAAATTCACGTATCATGAATGACAATTCACGTGTAGATAGCTCACGACACGATGCACTCGCTGATTTGATAGCTAGCTTGTCTAATGGATCCGATAACTCTAATGACAGCCCTAATTCTGCGAATGCATGGCAGGTACCTACCAATCATTCTTTTTTTTTTGCCTTTGAATTTTCATCGTGCACGCCGCCTCGCGCGGAAATTGGCCCGAGATTAATCCCCGTTTGTTTTGCGTACAGTACCGCGATGAGTCGATTTCTTCATGGAGGACACAATCGGTTAGCGAAATGGAATCTAGTCCACCTCATAGCGTGTCGCCGAGGCCGCAAACGCCCGCTTTTCCGGTTCATCCCCGTACACCGTACACGAACGCATCGACGCCGACCGTTCAATTCGATCTCCCATCCGAACGACTACCACCTAAAAGTCCTACTACCCAACGGTAAGTTTAAAACTGCGATTGTCTTTCTTGCGCTAAATATAAACGTGTTTTATAGACGATTGAGTTATCCTACTTCTGCTCTAAAAAGTTCAAAAGGGCGGTCAAATTCACCGGGCAGGTAACGAAACTGCTCGTTGTTTTAGTAGCATGATCATGGAACTTCCTGCACAGAGTACAGAATTGTTCTAAAAGTGCATAGATCTTGTGTAGATGAAAGTACATTACGGTTTTCTAAGTTTCTTGATTTTATGATCATATTTTAGTCAGATCCGTCCTTCCAACCGGTCGTTAATATGAAAATGGCAAGTGCCTTAATAGAAAGTGAAAAGAGAGAATTTACACCATCCTTCTGCCCTTTTTTTGGGAATATTTCAAATATCTTAACTTATCAAAAATCGCGAAATGTTAGGAAACGGATATGCATTTCAGTTTATTATAGTGTTGAACGTGTGAAAGCCTGAACAGGTTTGGTATGTAACGTGGTATTATTCGTAACAAGTGCCTACCTATATTAGACACTCCTAATCCACAAGTGTTACATTATAAGGATCGGTAGGAAATGGAATTCTTTTTTTGCCATAACGTCACTGTCGGTTTTAATGTTCAATAAAACTAATTGCACATTAAAAACGTGAAGTGAGTCACCGAGTTCCCGTACGATAGTCTGATCTTGAAATTTCATGAAATTGAAATGACAACTAACTTCTTTATTATGAACATCAACTGGTTCATCTTTAGATTTCCCACACCACTCACGCACTACACTTTTTACTGTATAGGGTATACTCCGCTGCACTAAGACCTTCTTGCAAATGACATTTTAGTGTTCGCATTTTGCGGGAGAATCGATCATAGTAGCCAGGCGCTCATACGTTGCCGTTCTATCATGAATCGGAAAATGTACCATTGACTTACATGAGTATCCATAGATGTAAAAGCTGTAGTCAGACATCCAATAAATAATTTCTCCGTTTCAAAAATGTAAGCAGTTTCAAGTTAAGGTGCTTCCCGCAAATTGTCAAGAATTTTGAAAATAAACGGAAGCCGAAACACATCTCGATTTACTTTCATAATAATTTTCTCTGTCTTGGCATTACGAAGCAGCAATGGATACGCTTTTTGAAGTTTAGTGAAATTTCGTATTTGGGATTATGTGATCATAAAATTTGCTTACATACCTAAGGATCCGATGGATTCATGTTTCAGACTTTAATTAAAGCATCCAAAGTGATGGAAATGTATAGAAGCGGATATGCATCTCGATATTCGGCTTGTACCACGTGTATTTTGATTGTTGCACTGTGCTGAGGGTTGTGGAAATATGGATAAACAAGGGTGCATCATTTATTGTAGGGGTTTATCAAGGATTAAGTTTAAGGATTTGTATAGGTAAAAATGCACATTGCGCATCCCGCTCATCATAGCGACAAGTATATGATAACAGCCACTATGCGCTTTTTGCTGTTCAATTTCCTAATCGTGAACATGTCATAATATTTATAATGGAAATAATATGGGTGGGCAGGTGGGTACGCCTATATTTTTATCAACCAAAAGTCTATGCATCTATTATTATTATTCCGGGTCTGATATAAACAAAAACAGGTGACTGTCGTCATCATCATCACTAGGTACCTATGCGTTTTAATATTCGATAAAGATCCATTTTACTGATCACTCTTGATTAAGAATCTTGAATATATACGGAAGTGGATAAGCTGCTTATTTGATTGCGAGATAGATAAGCCATAAATATAATATGCAGTATAAGATTTATGCACTTTTTCTACATAAAAATCTGTAACTCATGTAAATAATGCAACATTTTCTTCACCTTAGCGCACACATTTCAGTGTAGTTGTGTAAATAGGAACATATGTAGATACATACGCACAATATAATTATATTTTCCTTTACCATAACAAACAATGAATGTTAATAGTTTGTCAATGGATGTTACACAATTGTAATAGACTATTGCCAATCTATGTAAATCTGCGAAATTTTTCAGCAAGGACCGACCGACTTCACCAAGTGAGTTAAGCAATGGAACACTGGAATACTCCCACTCAGTGGTACAACGCAGCACATCAGCAACGCCCACCAGCCACAATTATAAGGAAAATTTCGCCGATGGTTATCAACACAGTCCCGTTCATAACGGATCTGCCTCACCAACTGTTTACTATGTAAATTCAAGAAGGAGCTCTGTACATTCTGAATCTCCACAGGAGGTGTCGCCTGCGCATGTTAAATTTGTGCGAGACACCTCTAAATATTGGTACAAACCTACAATCAGTCGAGAAGAAGGTTTGTAATTTGCTCATATACTTAACTATTCAGTAACAGTAGCTCAATTGCAGCTATAAGTTTACTCCGAACGCAACCTCCGGGCACATTTGTAGTTCGCGACTCTAATTCTTTCCCCGGCGCGTTTGGATTAGCATTAAAAGTTGCCACATTACCATCAAATGTTCAGGCAAAATCGCCCAGTAGCGATGAATTTGTGAGACACTTCCTAATAGAACCCACATCCCGAGGTGTTCGTCTGAAGGGCTGTAGCAACGAGCCAGTTTTCAGCTCATTGTCCGCCTTAATTTATCAACACTCAGTCATACAAATGGCCTTACCTTGCAGACTAGTGCTGCCAGAGGGTGATGTAAAACAGGACAGCCTTACCACCACATCGCAAGCTTGGCTCTCTCAAGGAGCTGCTTGCAATGTTTTGTATCTGTTCTCGTTGGATATGGAATCTTTAACCGGCCCGCAAGCGATTAAAAAAGCTGTCGTGGAATTATTCCAGAAATCGCCAGTGCCAACAGCCACAATTGTTCATTTCAAAGTGAACGGACAAGGAATTACATTAACGGACCACAAACGGAAAGTATTTTTCAGGAGACATTATCCAATAAATACGGTATCATACTGTGGTGAAGACCCCGATGAGCATAGATGGAGCGTGGGAACTGGGGAGGAAAAAAGTTCAAAGTATGTCCATTTCAACCTCGGCGGATATACCTAAATATCATTTGTTTTAGCAAAATCTTCGGATACGTCGCTCGTAAACCGGCAAGCAATACAGACAATCAATGCCATCTATTCGCGGAATTGGAACCTGAGCAACCGGCAACTGCAATTGTAAATTTTGTAAATAAAATGTTAAGTTCGAGCGGCATTAAGGCCAATATTGTATGAAAGAGGAAAAAATAGGATATTACAATATCAAAATGAGCGATCAGTATTTAAACGTGCAGGTTCTTCGTAATACTGACAGAGAATGTAATATATATATGCTTTAAATTAAGTAAGTAGACATCTACTAAATCGGGTATCTTTGCTTGTATTATTATTTAAAATTCACTTATTGTGTTTTGCTAAACTGTATTAACTAGTCTTTTATTACCTACTTAAATTTTAATTTGTTTCACATAACTACTTTAGAATTTAGTGCAGATGAATAATTTAAGAAATTATTCAGGTTATAACTTAAGAAGTTTTCGCATAACATTCAGAGTGCCTACATATTATAATAAGTACTGCGATTGATTTTATTATCTTCCCTTCGTCAGAATTGTCCCAGTGTTTAATTTTACTATGCCACTACATATTTACAATTAATTTTAAAATACAGTTCTAGGTGGTTCCTATCGTTTTAAAAGTTCTGTATTATGTAATTGATAAAAATTCAAATACTTGTGTATATACCATAGTACAAATTACTGTTATTCATTTTTAGGTATCCACCAGAACAAAAACATGTTATGCATCTCATGTTGAGTAACATTGATGTAGCAGAATATTAAAATAAAAACTACTAATTCTTTAATTTGTTTTATTTTAATTTGGTATGCGTTGGTGCTGAGCAATAGACGCGATTATTGGGAACGTGAAACGAAGTTGTGGAATTTAATAAAAATCGCGACAATCTTGGGATGTGTATGCAATAATATGTCTACTCAGCAAGGAGGAGTCTTATGAACACAGAACAGTTGAAGGGAGTAATCCCTCAGTCGCAAAAAAATTGTACTTCTTAGCTATTGAAGGTGAGCTTGATAACACTTTCCAGAATTAATCGTAAGAAGTGGGGTGTCCACCTGGCCATCTGTAGGTGGATAACCTGTAGGTTCGAAAACAGGAACATTCACGCTGCTACTAATGAGAAAACTGTGTTGTCCTGACAAGAGGCAGATTACAACTGTGAGGGGAGGTCTACAGGGATGAGTGCCCTGTTTTGGATGACTTACTGCAGGATTTAAAACTATAAGTTATACAGATGCTCTGTATAAAAGTATTGTAACGCGCCCATTTGACCCCGATGGGACGAGAGGTCAGTACTTCCCTAGCACTGGCATGCTCAATCCAGTTGCTACCTACCTATCAATTTAATGTGTCTATACTTTCGTGTTTTCTTTATTTTGAAAACGGCCGTGGGGTAAAATCAGTTGTAACAGTCTGTGGGAAGGTTGAGACTACCGCGTGCGCCATAATGCAATTTCCCCTTAAATTGGTGCAAGGTGGACTTCTTCCACAGCACGCTTATCCTTATGGCAAATGAAGTCAAATACTTGAGGGTAACCGTAGACGGGACGTGAACGTTTAAACTGAGTTTGGACAAGTAGCAAACAAGTCCAGCAGTGCTTTATGGACCTGTCGACGAATGTTTGGAAAGAGGCGGATTGTAAAAGTTATCATTATGTACACGGCCTTAGTGTGGCGGAGAAGGATTGAGACACAAGAAGGTCGGGCTACACCTAAACCAGGGTACAACGCTTGGCTGCTTAGGTAGGTATAACAGGGACGATGGTGATAGGGCCAACCCCCAACGGCAGCCCTGGAGACTTCCAAACCTACCGCCCTATGCGTTGTAGTTAGGGCGGAGACAATTAAATGGTCTTGCGCCATTCGTGACGAACTGTTCAAAGTTCACGTAATGGAAAAATAATTCCTGGCAGAAATGAAAAAACGTACCTCACAAGTGCCTTACGGCATTGGCGTACCAATAAGGGACGAATGGGAGCACGAAAAATGATCCCCAAGGCTAAGTGAAGATGCGTCTACTACACAGACACTCTTGTGCCACCGAAATGGGAGTAGGTATCAGAGTATGTGGGGCGGAAAGCTGTCTCGGTCATATTACCATTGCTTAGGCAACAATATTTCAAGCGAAGCTTTTCGCAATTGACGTGCCCAGATACAATTGTCAAATTTTTATATGAAAAAGCAAAATGTAATATGAAAACTAGCCCCCCCCCCCCCTTCTCCACTATCGGGGAGCAGCGCTCTAGATTTAAAAGTTCTGGAGCTAGCTGCTGCTAGGTCCGCTTTGAAAGTGATAAGAAGTAATGGTGGTGCTAGTGTAAACATTATACTACTCCTATCACTATCCTCTCGAAAGTCAAGGGCATTATTTCAAAATCTATAGAAACGCTACCTAAACTAAAAGTGGCGCAAAGTCAGTCTCGGTAAATAGTCGAAATTTAACTCAAGACGAATTTTCTGAACAGCAAAAACTCGATCTGGAGGTGCAAAACCTCATTGACGGAACAACATCACTCCAAGTGACAGAGTACAGAAACCATAAAGGAATCGTTTTATATTTCGACACATTGCCAACGAGCCAAAGTACATCGGTATACCATCGACGAGGGACAAAGATATTTACTAACTGTAATTGAAAGTTTCACCAGGTGACCAGAAGGAATCCCAACAGCGGGCATCACTGCCGAAACTGTTGCTTCCGTCCTATTTCATAGTTGGATCGCGCGATTTGGTGTCCCAAAAACCATCACTATAGTGATCGGGGGCGACAGTTCGAATCCTCACTATTCTCGTCCCTCTTTGGTATAAAAAGAATTAGAACAACCGTAAGCAAACGGAATGGTGGAAAGGTGGCAATCGTATTCTCAAGGCTGCTCTGATGTGCCATGCAATATGAAATTGGCAGAGACTTGCTATAACAATGCTATAACTAGACCGCGTGTAACGTAGATTTTACTATAAACGCCTGTTGTCAAGATAGGATAGGCAACCAACTGTTCATCGCGGGGCAGACGTACGTTCTGCAGCTTGCTTTAGCCATGTTTATTCTAAATTTTAGTAGCAAAAAAAGATAACATATAGCTGTTAACTGTTTTAATCGAATTTATTGGTATTTTATTTGAACTAAATTGGTATATAACTGCCTTACTCTAGTCCTAATTTGATTTATATGTGTATTTTGGTGGTGAACACGTATGGGAAAATATACTCTTAAAACTAAAGATGTAAGTAGTAAGATATGATTATTTAGGTATCCAAAAACCCAAATGGGCTGTAACTGTTATTTATTTTTCTTAGACTGCTGATAACCATTTTGTTTACAACGTGGTGTGGTGTGGATTGAATGAAAAACCTGAACACTTTTCAGCAATTTGGCAAATTTTTAATGCATCGCTTGATACGTGCAACAATCCTCCACGATTTTTTCTAGTTAAAAGCTCTGAATGACTCTCTGATGCGAATATCGCATCTGCACATATGGAACAGTTAATAGACTTAGCTATTTTTCTTGTAATAAAACCTGAAATATACTTAGTTCAGTATAAACTGCTCTTCCACCTAACCTTTGAAAGTTGCCGTTGTCTTGCTGGTAAAGAATGTTCTACGTTATTTTAAGTGAATGGGAAAGTCGAAAACGCTCGGTATTGCATTATTGTTTAACACCTTCGTCGGTACCTTTCTAAAATCGGCTTCATTCCCCGAAAATGCACTATGGTGGGAGTACATTTTTCTCTTCGAATGGCTCTGACCCATTGGCCCTTTAAACTTTTATCCGTTGAAAGTCTGCATATTATTTCAAATTTTATCGACAGAGAACATGTTGATACGCACGAGTTAACTTAAGTTTATTGGTTTATTCTCAACAGAAATTTATCTGTTTACTAATTCGAGCTAATCACGAGAATGATTAATGAACGGAACATCTAAAATAACAGCTTATTTCATTATATTGCACATCATCTCTGCGATTTTTGCCCCGCGGTGCATTGTGTGTTGCATACTGTGTTGACAACACCTTAGATACGTTAAGCGCAGTCTAGTAAGTTATAAGTTATAACTCTCGTCAGGAAAGATTGCCGGTCACAGAACACTTGATCCCGATCTACAATCTCTGTTTTACGTAAGGTGCTAGCGACTTCCGGTATAGTATCGTGTCAATGTTGAACGAAAAGACTTTTTGTTCAACGTTAGCACGATCCTATTCCATAAGTCGCTCGCATCTATATAAAAACAAAGATTGTAAGTCGACACAAGGTGTGCTGTGACCGGCAATCTTTCCTGGCGAGAGTTATATAGCAAGTCTCTGGAAATTGGAACTACGTAGCTCGTACAAACAAGACTTAAAATGTTCACCTGCACATCGGCTAGGGTATGGTTGCCCATTACGGTTATTTTTGTACATACCGAACGTGTGAAATACGCGCACGTGCTCAACCGTGACGATACAGTTCGAACACCATTGCAACGACCTTATACTGGACCACATACGGTTGAAGAACGAGTGAACAGCAAAGTTTGTAGGGTATTAGTCGGAAACAAATCGATCTGGACAGATTTAACCTAGCATTCCACTTAAGCTAGCATTATACTTGTCAATTTCTTCATGAATTAATTCATGAAGAAATTGTATAATGTAATACACCAACTTTGACGTCCAATAAATTCACGAAGAACTTCGTGAATTTCTTCACGAAATTAAAACATGTTCTATTTTTCGCCAATTTTACAGTGAAGTTCAGTGCTACCAACCAACAAATTTTTGTTTATATCAGAGAGAGTGAGGTTATGACTATATGTTTATGTTTACATTTTACCCGAAAAAAATGTCTAATAAAAACGAGAAGAGTAGTTGTGGAAAGGTAAGCAAAAATGCTTATATGCTAATAAATGATTACAAAACATTTTACAACTGTAACCTATTTTTTGATTGGGATGGCACCACTGCTCCAATGACAGATTTGTCAAAAACTTCACCAATTTATTCACAGATGTAAAAACCAAACCCTGTCGTGAAGAAAAAGAAATTGACGACAATAAATTCGTGAATTAATTCATGAATAAATTGACAAGTGTAATGCTAGCTTTAGTAACTGTATTTCTGGTGACTGATACTTTTGAACGATTGCTGCACCTACTTACTTTAGACATTTGCTTCTACTTTTGATCTTGGACCTATTAATCGACTCAGACAAGTCACTTTTTCAGTTAGAATCAATTTATTTACTTTATGGTATAAGTATAAAGTTTGTATTTGAATCTTGTGGAACTTCATTTATTTTCTGTTCCTCCGCGTCCAAATCGTAGATGACCATAGTCATCAAAGTCTTCTCCTCTTTTCCCAAATCTTAAGTGGCCATAATCATCCGTTACTAAACGCTTTGACAAATCAAATAAATCCTCTTCATCTAAAAAAAAGTTTGATGGAATAGCTTCTATTCACGATTTGAGTCGATGCTGGGTATAAATACCTACCTAATATGTCCGATAATTCAGGATGAACTTTTTTATAGTGAATAGCGAGTCTCGCACTGGCTGCTGGTAGAGGTCTGTGCGGTCTATGCAAAGCTTCCATGTTATTTAAAGCACTTACAAAACTATTGGCGTTTTGACTGTGGTTAAGAAATAAAAGGAGATAAATACTGGAAATTGCGAAGAGCCCAGTTGGTAGCCTTGCTTGAAACATATCCTATAAGATTATATTAGAGGTGTGCTAATTCGCCAAAATCTGTGCTATTGTAAAACGGCTGAAACTTATGAAGCAATCCGATGATACCTGAGCAATATTACCGTCACTTGTTTCAGCAGTTTTGCAACCTCAACAGTGAAAACTACCTGTATTCTATGTGCGCAATTGAATGGGCAAACTAACTTTATACAGCCGCTTACACCGCTGTTTACGAACTAAAATGTGAGGAGAAAAATATCTGCTTTTATAGTAGGTTTTTGCAGGCATGCACTGACTTAAATTAAAATTCATCCCCCGATAAACTGTCTCCAAGTACTTACGACGACGTGACATATTTTTCAATTTCGATTGTAAGTTGTCAGAGTTGTCAGTTTGAAAAATCTAATAATCTCTCATTTTTACTTTTATGCATGCGAGTGTTACTTATTACGATTTTGATGTAATTTTCTATGACACTGACTTTTTTGTCGATAGTAAAGAAGTAGTACCTACTTAATTAATATTGATAAGAACATTCTGCCTCAATCTTTAGTAGCGTCATTGAATAAAATGTGAATAAATTAAACAAATATAGCAAACGAGCTCCTGGGTATGGCTATAGCATGTGCAAAACCAAATTTTAAACCTGGTGTTAGTTTTGCTTTTATTTAAAGTGTATATGTATGAAATTTCATTTAATTGCTTAGGTACATAAATAAGAAAGTTGGCCCTTGACATCCTACACAAAACCAAATTTGGAAAATGGCGCTACATTTGCTTTTATTCCAAGTGGCTATGTATCAAATTTCATTTGAATGCCTCCATAAATAAGAAAATTGGCACTGCGCACGCGCAAAACCAAATTTTGAAACTGGCGTTATATTTGGGTTTATTCCAAGTGGTTATGTATCAAATTTTATTTAAATGCCTCCATAAATAAGAAAGTTTGCACTGCACATCCGCAAAACCAAATTTTGAAACTGGCGTTAAAATGGCTTTTATTCCAAGTGGCTATGTATCAAATTTCACTCAAATACCTCCATAAATAAGAAAGTTTGCAATTCTGTCTGTAAATGGTCGAGATGCGCAAAGGGCACTGTGAATGCTGATCGATTAGGCTCAACTTTTGGAATTGTGTTTCATATGGCTAAAAGCGCATATTGAATTTCATGCCATTCGGTTCATAACTAACGGAGATGTCAAAAGCGCCTACTTTATTTTTTGGTCTACATTACCAATTCACTAACTCCGATCTACATATTTGATAAAGAATCCACCTGCAACATCGCGTAATTGGTCCAGTTGTGTTGTAACGATTTTTGTTGTTGTTTGATTTTATATCGATCTGGACGGTGCTTCTCTGTAATTCACTAGTTAGATTTAGTTTTATTGTTCTTGATTCTCTTGTGATAAATTTCTTTGAATCGTTCATTCTGTTGTCGTTCGAGGTCGCGCAGAACTTTCTTAAATTTCTTCCGACGCGTGCACTCCTTGCACAAGACGCATACTTGATTATTACTTGCAAGACGATACACGCCATTATTGCTTACTTAACAATTTTAATTTTATCGACCATTTTTGGGATATACTGGCGCTGTGTTAATGAGTGAAGTTTTGTCTCGTTATTCTACTCCCAAGCTTCGCTGAAGCTATTTGCGGATTTATCTTACAAGTTTTAAGACCGTTTTGCGGTATGTAACAACAATTACGCATTTACTTTTACTTTGAATAATCATTTTTTTTCTTGTCACCATCGATTGTGTTTATGTTCTATCCCTATGAAGTGTTTTATTCCCTTTTAGCTGATGGTGGAATCAAAACAAAACATAAATTGCGAGTGAACGGGACGTCGGAACAGTGTTATAAATCTCCTTTTCCTAATAATTGTGCACGGATTGTACTTTGTGATCATAATACAAACGCACTGCAACAACGTCAAATAGGAAAAGTGATAATCTGAAACAAATTTATTTCGTCGGTAACACCTAACAGTCGACTATTACAATGGACTACAACAATAGACCTAATTACAATGAAGATCTTCAACTTTACTTACTGTTTTTACAACCCCCCACGTTACTAAAGAGGTAAAACATTGGGGTAAAAATGACCCTCCCCTCACTTTTTTACGGAAATACACGTTTTGAAGCGCCAGGAATCCGAATTAAACAAAATCTTGATGATGTCGGTCTGTTGGTCTATCGCTCGGTATGTACTCTCATTTCCGGCTAAACGGCTGAACCGACTGACACCAAATTTGGTACACATAAGTATTCATCTTAGGCATTTCAAAAACCTGAAAAGCTTTTGGGTAAAACGCGCATGCGCAGGTGCGTGGGAGGTATCTGATGTGCCAGTCACAGCAAATTTTTTGGAATGCTGCCACCCTGCAATGAATTAACCGTACCATATAATACCAAATAAGATAAACCGTAAACATAAACCCATATTTGAATGGCGTAATTCCATGTAAAAAAAACTTTTCTCTACTTATCTAATCTTTATATCTAATTTCGTCAATTTGGATACTGTATCTCCGACAGGTTCCAAATTGGGTCTTCATGTGTCAACTACCCGCACAATCCTATCCTATTGTTTTTTATTTTTATTTTATTGCCTTTAAGTATTTTATAGTGGGCGGAGTGTTAGCAATTTGCTACTCTTCCCACTCAACCAAATTGCTTGAGTTTTTTCCACTCTTCCCTTTCAACCAAAATAAGTTTATGTTTTGATCTTTATTGGTGTTGTATTTATGTGTGTGTCTCGAAAACAATGTTCCTTTTGGTGTCCGAGACATACCTATTATACATTTATGTTACACCCCGATTGAATCTCTCATAGGGCTTTAATTCTGGAAATGAATTATGCTTTGCGATTTTTAGTCTCTGATACACCTGAAAATTGTGTCGTAATATTTCTTAGGTAATGTCTAAGCGTGTTATAAATTTTAATCCTTTCTTAAATAACATGTAACATAATAATTCCGTGTATGTAAATATAAACATCGATTTGTGTTAACGTGTCGCTGCTCCACTTAGAAGAGAAGCCCGCCTCAAATCTAATTATGCTAATTGAATTTAATAATTCGTGAAGAAGCTCGAAGTATAAAACGGGCTAATATAATTCTCCTGTTACTTCTTGGTGCGTGCTTTAGAAAGTGTTTACGTAGGAAGGTTAATGTCGCAATGGTCTCGGAAATTTGGTTAAAAGGCAAACTTGACAAGTGGTTCGCATACCAGTACATTCACCATTCGTATAGCCGTCTAAAATCCATTCGTTTGTCACGAGCCTGCAAAAATTTTACGCTGCAACGTCGTAACAGTTTCGAAAATTCAATCGATCATTTAGTATCGCCAAATCACGCCAATAGAATTAATGTGGTAACGGGGGTACCAGAAGTGCGACAGTCTAAAAGAAGAGCAGAGAGGTCTAATACGTTCAGCAGTCACGAAGAGAACGAGACCTATGTGACGAAATGTGAACGACGCTGGAGAAGTTTCAGAAGTAGCTTCAGCCGAAAGCACGTAAGGGAAGAATACCGAAATCAGCCGGTTATTCCAGCAGTTTTAAAAACTTACGATAAAGGGGTGCAGCAAAAAGAGATTTTGTAACAAGGCATAGGTACCTAGTCGTGTGGAGTGTTAAGTAAAGTAGGTAGTCGTAGGTATGATTATAACTGCTTTAGTCTTAATATATGTAATTTTTCAAGTGCGCAATAAAATACGTCTATATCGCATTTTATTTACCTCGGCGCAAACTGCCAACATTTGCGAGACAGAGATACCTATACCTTTTACTCTTCTAAATTAACTGCGCGTATCACGCAAGCGCGTATCATATCGTAAACTCTAGTAGAATTTGAGCTAGCGAAATTGTTTCTATCGCGGTGAATTGGTCTTCTGTTTCGGCCTTTTACGATATAGACTTATTTATTAGGTATACGCCTCCCTTGTTTATTTATCTACATCAGTGTTCAAGTTGAGGTACGTTAGTAGTGATTCTGGTTAAAATAACAATGTAGGTACTTATGTCCAAAACGTAATTATATTTTGTCTTGTATGGGCCGCATGGCTTATGCTTGCCAAAATGCCAAACTTAGAGAACAACCATGATATGTTTTACTTGATCGTGGAAGTAGGTTATGTCAGTTGCTATACAAATGACAATCGCAGGGATATTTCCAGATAAGTAAAGATAACAACCGAGGCGTTTAGTTCGTAACAGCCCACACAGGCCAATATACCCACGAATATACATAATAGTGAACAACGAATAATCTGCGAGTAGCTTTAATAAAGATTGCATTTTATTACAGAAAACAACATGGAAGGCGATTCTATGACTGTAACTAACCTTGACTTTGTTGAATTTGAAAGGCAACAACGGCGATTCTTAAACGAACTTGCAATGAAACGAGTAAGTACGACCTGTCATATCTTACAATTGAGTATTTTAACTCAGGGGCAAGTGGAAGACCTGAAAAACGAGCTAAACGTTGCCAACTTAAAGATCCACCAGCAAACCAGATCGTTAGAGACGTCGAAGAGTACAATTGAGGAACAGAACCACAATTTGACATTGGCCCTTAAGAATACGCGATTTCTGGAAGACACCCTGCAATCGAAGAGGGACTATGTCTCCAGAACCCAAATGCAGCAAGAATCATTTGTAAGTTGTTAAGTACCTATGTATTTTGTGACTGATTCTGAGATGAGGGTCAGATCATCTGCTCGCGCACCTTTCATCATCAATCTATATTGAGGAATTTGTTTTCATTAAAGGTCAGATTGTCTGTGAATGCGCAATGGAGTGAATGCACGCACAAAATCTTTTATAAATAACTGCCCTATCAAGTCACGCAAGGTTCGAACCGGGTCCGCACATCACGTGCCGGACTACCGCTTGTAACGGCCTTTCGTTACAAAAAACTTCACTCTGGAATTATCTTAGTGGTCCAGTCTCAGTTACAGTTGGCAACTCTGGGGAATGATTACATGCAGCGCCATCCGATGTTCCACACCAAAATGACATACATTTCGCGCCACTTTTAAACTTTGGTTGTACGTTGCACGGACATGTTGGTACGAATAGAATTTTATGTCTTACTAACCTATCATAGCACATTTTATATCTGTGATACGCGGGCATAAAGTACCACTTTATGCCCTAGGGCATTAAGTATCACCATAGTAACTCATTCATACTTAATGACAAAACTAACAAATACTTGCAGGTCATTGAAAATTAGAAACGTCAATTATTAATTGTCAATACTAAATCACAAGATTGGCCTTATTCCGTATAGTTTCTGGAACTTCTTGCTCATTCACGATGAAGTGAATTATTTAAAATTACGTTTGACGTTTGGATGGTTTCAATGACACTAACAAATTCGAACCACGCATACTTAATCAAACACAATGAATTATTTTGTAAACGAATATTTACTTTGACGAAGAAAACTATTTGTAAAACATAAAATTTTGTATGTACCACGGGCATAAACTGATGTTTATACTCTCGGGCGACTAAAAAGCTCTTGGGCCATAGGCCCTCAAGCTTTTTAACTTGTCGCCCTCGAGAATATAAACATCACTATTATGCCCTTAATACATAAATAACTATTAATGTGTTAGGACATAAAACAAAATTTTTTTTTCTGAAACTACTTTAGAAATAACTACTTTCGTCTCTCAAAAGAGTGAAGAAACTGTGATTTCCCTCTCTAGTGAGGAAACTAAAAAACAATCGCAGGACTAATATCACATTCAATGCTAATATTAACGAGTAACGACGTTTAAAATTGAAACATACCCGTATCTAGATTGCTGTGTCAAAGTTTATTAATGCATACGATAATTTTTCAATTTTGATTGTAGTTTCAGAAGAAATTATGTGTAAAACTCGAGTTGAAAGTGTTTTTCAAATTTTCAATCAATTACAGATACCTACGCTTTGAACTGAAGTTGAAAAACTCAACCTTCTTCTCTAGTTGTACAAATAACTATTGCGCGTTCGAAAAAATAAGGAAATTCAAATTTATTACGCACGAATCTGCGGAACAAAAATCAAATATCCCTGCAATTGTACAATAATACTCAGGATTCAGGTACCTATTCCTAGTCAAATCAGTTAAGCAAATTCATAAAAACGAGATACGTGACATAATAAATACAAATGAAAAACAACATGAATCGGTTTATCTAGTAGAAAAATACAGCTAACGGATCAATTTAGACAAAATAGAAAACAATTCGTAAAATGATAAATTGCATTTAACTAAAGAACATCAGAATAGGAACGGCTTTGTAGCGGCATCCTTTACCATTAATTTAACACGAAAAAGTGCAGGTGAGAATGTAAGCAGAATTCAAGTTAAAGTCGATTACCACAGAAACAGTCAGTCGAAGACTTGTCACGATTGTTGTATATACAGGACGTATTCTTTCATAGTGCTATTTTTTTACTGCAGCCTGTGATGTCTAACGGTAAGAGTACGTCACCACATCTCTCTGAGTCTCTTTAATTGTTACTGGATTTTACTCTTTTGTTATGTGAATTCGTGTCAAGCCAGCGGAGTTAAGTGGACAACCTGTAAACTTGCGGAGAAATACACGCAATAACCCGTAACGATTTAAATATGAATTAAAGTATGGTGTCCTCCAAATAAAAGGAAATATTTCCCTCGTGTAATAAATGCAGTAAAGAGACTACGGTCCTCTTGATCACGAGGACATAAAATGACACGAAAATAACATTCACTAGATTTAATATTTACCTTTGTTTTTAATCGTTCAGAAAAACAAGTCGTTATTACTGCTCGCATATTATGTTTGCATGAGAATTACAAGTCCATCATTCTCACACATAAATACATATCTGAGCCCTTCTCCCGTGCCATAAATTTGAAACTGGTTTCGTAATTTTTTCGAAACACTCACGAAACTACATAGATCTGTTAACTGTTTACAAACTTGATCTTTGTTATAGGTCGCAGAAAGAGAAAGTTTGAGAGGGCTCCTACAAAAAACGGAGTTACAGAATTACAACTTGACACGGGAATTGAACGAGCTTAAGTCCCAACACAACTGCGATGCAGCCTATCAAAGGGAATTTATTAACGAAAACGCCAGAATTCGAGAAAAAATTGTGCAGTTGACCGAGTAAATTTTTATCTTCAGTCAACAACGCATACTATAACCACAGATTTATGTGCTATAACTATAACCAAAGAGTACCTACCTAAATATTCTTTGCTATAACTATCGTTTTTTAGAGCGATGCAAGCTTTGTTAATTGACAAGAACAAGTGTCTTGAACTGACAGAGGGAATTGAAATGTGTGAAGAGATGCAGAAAAGTGTGACGTTCTATAGAGAAGAACTGCTTAATTTCAAAAAGAAGTACGCTGTTCTGGAAGATAAGTTAATAGAATCTAAAGGTAAGAGTAATTGGAGTTTTTGATGCAACTCGAGTAATGTGTAATTCTTACAGCCACCGTGGAGAAATTCGAGAAATTAAGCAATCAACATCCTCTACCATTCCAAGCCTCTGAAGAATCACAAATAATCATTAATCAGGTACGTCTGTTGCAATGAAACGTGACCTGGGCAACCCACCTAGTACCTGTATCTCCCTATAGCACGCTTTTTAAAGAAAATAAAAACTGCCAATATTTAAATCGAATTTAGTGCTTAATTTAGTTACATCATAGACCAAATATAAGTAACTTAGATATGGCCTCCCAATTACTTTCAATAAGAAGCATCTGATGCCAACATACCTAACAAAGACAGATCGTACAGATAGTAGAACACCGCACATGCGCAGTAGCATTCGAATGTAAACAGCTCATAACCATAGGCGTCGCAAAAATAGGTCACTTAATATTAAGTTACGACGCACATATTTTGTAACTTAAGCATAGAATGAAATTGCACTTTCTGTACTGCTACGTTCACCACAAATTAACCGCGCCGTTTTATTACTTTCGTAAAAACTACTCGCATTTTCTACTGTAATAACACCGCAAACCCGTTTATGTTCCAAGGAAATAACACGCCAATGAAATGTCGGGAATGTCAATTTGACAGACAACTCAGTGCGCATGCTCGGTATTCTACTGTATAGCTATCTCTCTCACATATGTTGGAATAGAATGGCTGAACGCTATATCTATGGATTATACAATGATCTAAGCTAATATAGGTATGATCTTTGTATTTACAGTGGAAAAAGGCAACTGAACGATCCAGCGAGCAATCCCGAAAGCAACAAGATCTCATTACTAATTTGACAGAAAAAGTGAAGGCCGAGTGTGAAAATAATGTGAAACTGTGCCTTAGGGAAGTGGGACTAGAGGAGGAAGTTAAGAAATTGAAACACGAAAATTCAATTTTGGCGGAGAAAAACAAAGAACTCCAAAAACAATCGCCTACCACCGCTGAAGTACAAAGCCAAGCGGCTCCAGCGGTAATCAAAGCAGAGATAATTGAAATATTGTCGGGTGGTTAATTTATTTTAAACAATTCTGTTTGTCCATTCTCATGAAGTTACACGTTTTGATTTTTCTTGTATTGTAGGTACCTATTATGTTTATTAGTAGTGACTATACATAAGTAGGTTAATAATAAAAACTTTCAGTAGTAGTAGAAACACCAATTAATGCATACGTTGACCAGGCGAAGCGCTTCACGAGCGTTACCTAATGGCGGGAATAGACTACATTACAAAACTAATACACGACTTAAAGAAACATAACCAAGAATACATGACCTTACAGTGACTGTCCACATGTAACTACATTACATGACATAAGTAAATAATTTTAAAGTTTTCCACAAAATGGCTGCCGGTGTACCAATGTGATTTAGCAATCAATCAAAAATAAGACACCGTAGACACCTATTGTAACCACTGTCTTGTATAGAGTTTGGAGCGAGGTTTGGAGTCACTGTTACAGTGACTTTATAAAGACAGTGGGACAATAAGAGCATAGCAGCCATGTTGCATCGAAAATTCAAATTAGGTATAGGCGACACACGTATGACATGTGTTGCGTACACTATAATACAATATTATAATGTACCTACTCGATGCAACATGGCCGCCGATTTGAACAACCAATCAAAAATTAGACGCTCCATTGGCCATTGTCCGTATAGTCACTGGTTAAAGTCACTAAATATAGAAAGTACCGCAATCCGTTGGGCTCGTGTGTTAGAGAGAGAACGCATGATTTTTGCCCAAAAATGGCGGAAGTTACCAGATTCTAGTAACTTTAATGTTAGGGATTGTTCCACCTGTTTGGAGATATCTGTATATATTTTTATCAATGAATAAAGAATATTGGAAGGAGAATATCAACAATATACGTGCGACCGCGATGGCTTTTGCAAATGGCGGACAGTAGTTTCCTGTTCCAGTGGCGTACCTACCTTACAGTTGTAGAAGGATACAATTATAAAGAATTTTACACGAAAACAATCTACACCCCCATGTGTCTACTCCGCCTATGACTTTTGTTTAACTAACCTCAAACTACATTCCGATAAAAAATTTGTAAATTTACATGTACTATATAAAAATAATATTAGGTATCAATACTTACACATGAAATGTAATTCCCAAACTTTTATTTTTTTCCGTTTTGGAGCAACCACAAGCACACAACTAACCATTATTTTATGTCACTGCAAAAACCACAACAAAAATGAGTCATAAGTGACTTTTGTAAATGGCCGGCTTCCGTCGCACTCTCTCTTGTAGGTATACAACCTGATGCTCCTTCCAGATTCTTTATTCATTGATTTTTATAAAACATGACAGTACTATGAAGTTAGGTTATAAAAAATTACAGCTATTCAGATTTTATTTGTCAAATTTGCCCAAAAATGGCGGATGATTGCGGTACTTTCTATATCTAGTGACCATTGAATTTATGATAGCATTGAATTTATATATAAATTCAATGATGATAGTTATAAATTCAATGCTAGTGACTTTAGTCAAAGAGTATTATGGTTACTCTTTGCTTTAGTCACTGGTATTTTAAAAGCTTTCTCTATTGAGCAGCAGTATAAACATGTAAGTAGGTACCTTTCAGAATTGTAAAATAGGGTGTTTTCACATTTTTTAAAAACTGGACAAGAAGAAAGCACATTGGCCGAATAAACGAGCTACACATTTAAAAAATATATCCGAGCCTTCATTTGAGAGTAATTTCAAAATAAAATTCGAAATCAGAAATTTGCCGCGTAAACGGACAGCCGCGCATTTGTAAGGTCACATCATGGTACATGCACAGATTTAGATCTGTGGTACATGTACCATGGGTCACATAGTTCTCATCTACGTCACAGTGCATGTAAACACTGGAACTGTCATTGTAAACAGCACGCGTTCTACGGTTTTGATTGTTTTCTGCAGTGATTATATGTTTATATAGGATTGATTTTATTACTATCAAAGACTAGCTAAACATTGTGCATGTTTGAAAATGTATGGCGCACAAAATAAATGGTGTTTTGTGCCATGTTGTACAAGTACATCCGTGAGTACGCCAAACAAAATATTTATTTCTGTACCACTTGAGTATTCTCGCAGAAGAAATTGGTTTAAAGCAGCTAGAAGGGATATGCCAAAATCGAAATCAACGTTTTACTGCTGCGAAGATCATTTTAATGTAAGGACATGACCATTATACCTACATATAAAGTAAAATTGAAATGTTTTCATTACAGCTGGAAGAAGATATAGAAAATTTTGTACGTTATAAATTAATGGGTGGAAAAATTATTCTAAAACAGACGGTGGTTCCTCATAGGTTTGACTGTCAACCAGACAAGAAAAGAGCTAGTAATGTTCCCGTAAGAACGCTACCTGTCAAACGAGCAAGAAAACAACTGGTTGATGAAGCCATTGCAGAGAGTGAGAAGAGACAGCAAAATTTACCATTACTGGTTGATGAAGCTATTACAGAGAGTGACAAGATACAGCAAAATTTACCATTTACCAATGTTGAAGAGCCAGTGCCAGTGCTGTTATGAATGCCCCTGTTTGGCAGTCTTCTGTTTTGGAAGATGTGATTTTGACTTCTGCAGTACATCCTCAAACTCGAAGTGTTGGAGTACAAGCAAGACCATCGTACCGTAGCAAATACATAACATGTAAAATAACAAACAGCATGCGCAACGCTACTACTTCACCATTGAAATCTGTAAAAAAGGATTCTACTACTTCACCGTTGCAGAAATGCCCAACATTTCAAAGAATATTGTTTCCACCTCGGTTTCCACAGACAAGTAGCAGCACCGACACTGATGTCGGATCTAGTTCGTTTGTTGCAAGCACAATAGAAGGTAGTGATTTTGAAATTAATTTTCCACAAGACCAGAAAGAGGAAAAGTTGCGGGCGTTGAAAGTTACTCGATTACTAAAAGAAAAAAAACTAAAAAATTATACAGGTATTCCTGGTTTTCTAATGTTATAAATTTGCTCAGTACAAAAACCAAAATAAGTAAAGATAATTTAATGCTAACGCTAATGAAAATTAAATTAAACGATTCATTTGCTCGCTTAGGGGGACATGTTTGGCATGTCTTTGTGTAATGCATCAAAAATGTTTAAGAAAACGTTAGTGCAAGTAGAGCCTGATTTAAAAAGTCTGATATTTTGGCCGTCCAGTGATAAAATAAAGTATTATTTACCCATTCCATTTAGAGCACATTACAGCAATGTTCAATCCATAATAGATTGTTTGGAAATCCAAATTCAAAAACCAACAGAACCTGTCAAACAAGCACTTACCTGGTCAGACTATAAAAAATGTAATACTTTAAAATATTTAATTTCATGTACACCTGACGGTTTTATTAACTTCGTATCGAAGGGGTATGGAGGAAGAATAAGTGATTCTTTACTGGTGGAGGAAAGTGGCTATTTCGATGTATTACCGACAGTGTAATGGCTGACAGAGGTTTTAAAGATATTGCAAAACAGTGACATGACAGAAATTGCCAGTTAGTTAGGCCACCTAGTGTTTCGAGTGCAGAGAAACCCACAAAAACACATGTATTAGAAAGTAAACGTATAGCTAGCTTACATATTCTATTCACGTAGAAAGAGTTATCCGTAGAGTAAGAGAATTTGAATATTTAAAATCACATTCTGTTATAGACCACAATTTCATAATACAGACGTTATTATTGCAGTCGCATGTGCTTAATTAATTTACAAGGTTCTATTATAAAGCAGAAATAACTACTATGATCATTGTACACAAAATATGAAATATAAATTTTTAAGATACCATGGCAGACGTTTTATTATTTGCAAACAGAATTAAATTAACGCTAAAAGAATACATGTTCAATTTATGTAACAGATGCATATAATTTTGGAAATACAAACTTTTCCCAGTTTTCTACAGCTGTTGTTAATAATGTCCTTAAATATGTTTCATCATAGTCGACATGTAATATTGTTATATTTTTTTTTGTTTCTTCATAATTTGGATGAGCAACACAAAATAATCCTTTTTCCTTTTGGGCACACATTTGTAAATGCATTTGTGCTTTAAACTTTGCACGAATTTGGCCATCCTTGATATAATTTAGATATGTTTTTTCACTTTTCGGACACTTCACTTCAACAACAAACTGTGATGAAAGTGCATCTGGCGAGGCACCAAACACTGGTTACTCCGGCAGCATAAATAAGCCACACTCTGTAAACTTCATGATGAGTTGATTTTCTGCTGTTTTTAGCACATCTTTCTCTAAAAGCCTGCCCCTCTTCATGTGCTTTGTATCCTTTATTTTATATGCGCCTATTATTGCTTCCACTAGCTGCTACCACCAGCAGTCTTGCAGTGTGCAAATTCATGCACTTTAGAAGCAGTTATGCGTCCAAATCTGAATTCATGCCACAGTGGTGAATCTGACTGACCTCTCGTTAATCTTTCTGCTTCTTTGCACAACTGCAAACTTCGCCTCATACGGGAAACGTCATGCGCCCACGGGAAAACCTTCCTTTCTGGACTGGTAATGAAATATACTATTTTGGGAAAAAAAGAGCGTCGTCATAATTTTTTTTACGTCATCTTGAACACGTGTGCAAAATTTCAAGTTCCCACGAGTATTTTTTTATTTTTCTCAAGAGGGAACTTTGAAATATTCTCTTGCGGGAATTTTCAACTAGATGTGGGGTCTCGAGTACTTCCAGTCTGCCCATGGACCTGAAAATTCACCCGAGGAAGGTGGTGAGCAAGTAATTTAAATTAAAGTTATTTTCAACCCCCTACTAAAAAGCTCTCGGGCCATAGGCCCTCGAGCTTTTTAACTCGTCGCCCTCGAGAATATAAACATCAGTTTATGCCCGTGGTGCATACACAATTTTATGTTTTACAAATAGTTTACTTCGTCAAATTTCGTTTACAAAATAATTCATTATGTTTGATCGAGTATACGTTGGTTCGAATTTGCTAATGTGATTGAAACCATCCAAACATCAAACGTAATTTTAAATAATTCAATTCATGAATGAGCAAGAAGTTCCAGAAACTATACGAAATAAGGCCAATCTTGTGATTTAGTAGGTATTGACAATTAATAATTGACTTTTCTAATTTTTAATGACCTGCAAATATTTGTTTGTTTTGTCATTAAGTATAAATGAGTTACTATGGTGATACTTAATGCCCTAGGGCATAAAGTGCGTATCACAGATATAAAATGTGGTATGATAGGCTAGTAAGACATAAAAAAAATTATGACGACGCTCTTTTTTCCCAAAAACATTTTTTTCAACCCCCCACCCCTATACTACTACCCTTATGCGTTGCTGTAGGGGGTTGAAAATTTACATTTGACATTTTGAGGGGGTGCAAAGTCTATATATACATTTTGGGACATATCTGATCATCCCTACCATCGTAGACCCAAGAGCCCTACTCTAACCAATTTATAAATACTTAAATATATAATTTTTTAATGAGCGCATACCGTTACGCTCACCTTAGATTAGTATGAATATATTGAAAACACCCTATTACATTTATGAGTTTTTGCATTAGATGTCGTTTCAAAAAATTGATTGTTCAATGAAACAATGGTGATTTTAGCGGGGCGGTACCGAATAAAATTCTGACGTGTATCTCAAGAATTTATTTACAAAGAGGGATGTTACGGGCTCAGATGTGCGCTGAAGTTCGGCAGACGGAGAACTCAGAGCGGCGGCGGCGATACTCCAGTGTTGGGGTCCTCGCCTGGACTGGCAACCGATCGATTTATTCTGAAGATTAAAGTTGAATGAAAGCGCGATCGAAATCGAATAAATTCTTACGGCCCTATGGTCGGTATTTGAACTGTCGGGCTCGCACGCTATTGACCAAACCGCGTGGACCAATCAGGTGACGGATTCTATGGCGTGTAGTCGCGTGGTCGCCACAGTGACTCCGCTGTAATAATAATAATACTGTGGTAAACATTCTAAAAATCTCGATAGACATCGAGGCGCCTAGCAGAAATAATGAAAAGATTATTAGAGCAGCAATGGACAAACCGGCTGCCGATGTTGGGACTTTGGTAAAACATACACATTACAAGAAATTGATCCAAAAACACAAAAACCGATAATCCTGAAAACTAGAACGCGTCGATGGGAAGGGGCGAGCCTCGACCTGCCCCAGAACCTGCCATCCAAGTCGCGTCACTCAAGACTCAACCAAATAGTTTATACATAATTAAAAAAACAAAACAAAATCAAAAAGGTACAATAAAAATAAATTTAAAAAAATAGAATATACAGTGCGTAAAGCGATGGGGTATACAAGAGGGAATTTTTTTTAAATATTGATTTATGCAAAAAATTTATTCTTCATGATATTTTTTGCTTGCTTTGAAAGTACCAATAACGTTTCGATTATTTGTGGTTTTGATAGTAATACACTATCTTGATTAGGGTTGCCATCCGTCCGGGTTTCCCCGGATTTGTCCTAGTTTAGGGGGTGTCGGGGGAGCGTCCGGACGGGGTTTCATTGGGAGTCCGGGCTTTAGGCTACCGAGACATCTGAGTTTCTGTCAAAATTCAAGCCAACAAGATAAATTTTTAAGCGCCAATCAGATTTGGTTACAATTTTTTAAAACACCGAATCCTCATTTATATTTGGAGTTATTGAAAATTGCCTTGTGCTTTTTTTGCATTCCTGCTCATAATGCCAACGTTGAAAGAATATTTTCACTAGTGGCATAACAGTGAACTAAAGAAAGGAATTTATTGAATGTTGAAACAGTCTACCTAGTCAGTGATAAAAATAAAGTACAATTTCAAAGACTATCTCTTTAGACAATTTTTTTATCAAATTCAGTTGATATGTCCAGGTTTATAACCCCTAAATCCGGGGTTTTCACGCTTGCTGTCCTAGTTGGCAGAATTTTGAGATGGTAACCCTAATCTTGATTATAATGTAGAATGATTACTTTCAATAAAAAAAATTAATTTTATTATTTTTCCAGATTTCTATAAATAAATTTTAGATTATCGACACGTTATTGGTACTTTCAAAGCAAGCAAAAAATATCATGAAGAATAAATTTTTTTCATAAATCAATATTTAAAAAAAAATTTCTCTTGTATACCCCATCGCTTTACAGACTGTATATTAGAAAATAAAATAATGAAGGGGCGTGACGGTTGGTATTTTAAACAAAAACGGAAGTAGCAATTAAATGGTACTAACTGTTGCTCAGAACTCATGATTAAGATGTGACAAATCTACTGTAAACTCACCTTTCATTAGAAACGTCCCACTGTAATCTACGCGTGCGATAAGGATGGCATGGCAACATTCAGTCTAACTGGTCGTCTTTTACGCTTGACTCTCAAGGGTTATGTAAAGAAAATAAATAAGAATAAAATTTATTTTTGTTTTATTTTTTTTCAATTTTTTTACATTTATTTTATTTTTTTTAATTTGAATTTTGAAGTGTAGTACAGGCGACCCTCGTTAAGGATGTCGCTCTTAGTGAGTTAGTCTTGCTCTTCTCTCATACCAAATACATGCCATCATCCGCACTGTAAAATGTGAGGTCATTTTTGTCTAAGATTTATGATAAATTAATAAAGACTGCAATGTTGTTAAAAATCAATTTTCTATTTTGCAAACTGTGGGCACACAAATTCATATATTTAGCTTGATTTATAAAAGTAATAATTTACAAAAATTGTAATAATCACAGCATTGTCATTGGGCTAAATCACATTCCAGCGTTATCACCTACCCCGTTTATTAACAAATTTAAGTGACGATATTCTCACGAATCCAGATTGGTAACCAGTCGCATAATACAAATACGAATTATGGTTTGGATTTATAACTACTTTATTAATCAGCTGAAGAGGATATATGTTTGGTTTACTGGGAAACAATTTGTCATTATTGTTTGACTTGTAATAACTGCTGAGATTTGCAGGGAGATCACTTAACGAAACCTTAAAAAAATGTTGTAGTAAAACGTTAAATACAATTAATTTTTTACGACTTACCAACTTCATATCACAAAATACAAGCCCAAATTTCTCATCCGCTTCTTCGTACGATGAAGGCTCTATATATTCCTCTTGTGGGAAATCCTCATTATGAACATCAACCTTGTAATTTTGACAAATATCTGATTTTTGTTTTTGGGATTTATCCTTTTTAGAACTTTGGCCTTTACGATGTATCCGCTCATCAGCACTCAAATTTTTTTCCACCAACCGAGCATATCCCAATATCTGAAAATTAAATCGATAATATTGTTGGACAGAGGGAGAGAAAAGCAACATGTACCGCTTTTTTCTTTCGAAACGATTTGTCGCTGTCGAGTGCATAAAACAGTTGATGCGGAAAAAATCCGGCTATTTCTCCCGCAACATTGCCCTGTACAAAGCTATTTATCCAGTCACTCCCACTGATGCTGGATACATGGGAATTTGAATGCATAATTGACGTACATTCACTTTCGTAGTTGCGTAATTGATACACAGAGCTGTACGTCAAACCTAAAAAAAAGATTCCTCAGTAAACATTATTGAGAAATTAGGTCACGTGACAGTTGAACTATTCAAATGCTACAAATTTTATTAAAGTATTCTTCATGCCTTTGTTTGTATTTGTATTTTATCTATTATTCAGATTAAAATCTGACATACTTTTCAAAGTTCAAAACATGAAACAAAGTTACAATTCTCCAGTCCGCAAAAAAAAAAACAAATGGGTAATTGACAGTAGTAATCCAATTTCTTTATAGTAACAGAGCCATGGAATTCAAAAGAAAACAATAGAAAAATTGGACATTTTAAATTAGCCCCTCATTTATAAAATTGTGCAATTGTAATTAGAATTCTGAACACCCCCCCCCCTAAAATTTTGCAATTGTAATTAGAGTTCTGACCCCCCCCCCCCCTAAAGTTCTCTAGAGTTCTTGATAAATCTTAGAAAGGGTTCTGACATTTTCAGTCATAAAAAATCAATTTTGAAAACAAGCGGGGCCGACTTCACGAAGCCCCCCCATTGCGTCAACAGTGAACTTTTTTTAAAGTTCTGAAAAGATTATCAATAGCTCTAAAGTTAATTAATGCAAAAGACCTTGTCAAATGTTCGTAATGAAAAATTCCCAATATTGACTATACGTAGTACATTTTACAGCAAAATCTTGTAATAAATAATTGCATAACTCCAGATCCAGAACTGTGGCCAAATTGTATTACAACCTGAAGCACCATTAGACAGTATCGTCCAACGCCCTATTTAAAAAAATTAAGGGGCTATAATTCTAAGCAGAACTCAAAGTTTATATAAAAGGTGTTAAATATTTTTCTGTGTCATATGAAATATTAATCCTCTTAACTTTTTAATTTTATTGTAAGGTTTGGCACCACATTTGATTGCAGTGTCAGAACTATTCATTTGACTCTCCAGAGCCAACAAAACAGTAATCTTCTGATACGCTCAAAGACAATCATCTATACCTACAGGTTGATTAAATTCGAGGGTCACCATGGAGATCTCGGAAACTGTAAGAGATATAACAAGTAGGTAGGTAGTTTAAATTTGGCAAAGTTCGTATTTTGATGCTTAACAAAATGCGGTTTTGAAACTGAAAAAATTCCGATTACTTTCGGATATCCTGAAAAAAACGAAATTTTGCAAAATCGTATTAATTTTTTACAGAAGTTATCAAAAAGATATCTCAAAATCAATGACACTTCATTATGGCCCCTTTTTTCCCTCTATAAGATGCTACTTTTAAATTTTAAGTCTGCCGTTTCGTCTCCAGTTAACCATCATCAACATTGTTTTGTCTTAATCGTTCCTTTAGCTTTTCCTTCAAAAAAATATCCTAGCACGCCCTGTACATAACCATTTTGTCTCTCCCTGTATATATTCCCGTTTGTTATGTGCGGCGCATAAGCATTAGCTCGAATTGAATATGCACACAAGTCAAACAACATTCGCCTTCGTCATTCAGCAATTTATCAAACGCTGATCGAACGAAAACAAGAATCAAGATGTCGTCGTGCAGCCATCAATAATAACAAATACCTTAATATATTATTACAGGAAACTCGCTACTATTTGCATTATTGCATATCGCGAGACACGGAAAAGAGCGCCATCTAAACGGCCCGGTGTGAAATCGAGCATTTGTAAAACACCATGTATTGAAAATCTCTCAACGTTATCTGGTAGAGATGAAATTTTTGTTGGCATATCTTCGGAGATAGGAATTGCATGTTTTTGTATGAACCAAACATATTGAAAATCAGAGAACCTGTAACAAAAAATGGAATTGGATTGACATCAGATCTGATTTCAAACTTTAAGAGGAGATAAAAAGCCAAACTTCTGCAATGTAAGGGATATAACTTTTTTTTAATTACTGAGCTAGCGTTGGGTGAAAAAAAATTGATTGTTACAGTACAATTTTTACCAGTGCTGTAGAGGGTCAATTCTATTTAATGCCAGTGAGGTCTTCAATCCTTGTAAATGTAACTAAGCTGTTACAGGTACCGGTTCTTTTTGATTCCGGTTCCACCCACTGGTCTTTGCAGGGAGATATTAAAAACTGTATACTCCCCAAATTCGCCCACACTAAGCTCAATCAAATGGTGAATGTATAATCATATCATTCCACTGGTGCTCGAATTGCGCATGTGATAAAAGCAAATAAACACCGGTCGTTCGGTGGTGACTATTGATGTAGCGTTTATAAATTCTTGTAAAAAGAAAAAATAAGGAAAACAGTTCGATAGTGTAGTTTTCGTATGGTTCTTTAAGTTGTAATGCCTCATATAATTAGCATCAAACTTCAGAGAGGCATTGTGAAAATGATTGCTTAAACAAAACGTTTAGACAAAACAAGATGATACTTTACCTCCTCCGCAACAATCATCGTAGGTATGAACTGTACTTAACCAGTGATTCAGCCAAACTCCGTCTGTTACAATAAACTTAGTAAGATTACTAATTGGAACTGTGGGATTATCCAAATCCCAATACTTTATGGAACGATCTAACGAACCAGACATTACCCAACGTTTTCCATCGCTTAAATGAAACAAATGTAGAGCTAAAACATGAACTAATAACATCTACTCCCCACACCTTCAGTAATACACTACCAGTAACCGCATGATAATGGGCATTAAAAATTTGATACGGTCGCATTATTTTAGCTTCTCCATCATTTGAATGAAAATTGAGTAAGGAAGCTGTACTAAGCATATCAAAAATGCCGATCATGCCATTTCCATAACCCACAGCAAGATATTGGTGGTCTTTCGCCTGCAACACAACCGACATGACGCACCAACTTGAGCTTTATACAAATTGAACAAACTTTACTCCACGAAAGTGTCGTTGGATGAGGTTCAATTCCATTAACTGTGATTTCACGAGTCGTTTCCAATGCTAATTTTAAAAGCGGTTTTGTCTTAAAAATTTTGCCACTCAATGAACCAGGAAAACAAACAGAGTAAATGTAGACGTTCAAATCCGCACAGCCAACTGCGAGTAAGCCAAGGCGTCGCAGATAATTACTCTCCTCAACATCGTAAGTACCCGAAGGGCACCATTCCATACACCATACAGGACCGTGATCGTGTGCTATGCAGTATTCCAATTTCGGTTTTTCAGAGATGTAACTACTATTTGATAAGGTGCCGCAATTCCAAAGTTGAATCATTCCCGGTTCTTTATACAACTGATCAAGTGGGTATCCTTTATTGAATTTGGAATTGACACATACAGCTAAAATTTGTGCACATTCTTCAATCATGTGTGGGTTAGGTGCCCATGCCATCGCACAAATTGATCCTCCACAAAATATCGTTGACGCATCTATCCGAAATTGTCATTAGAACATTAACAAAATAATTGCTATTACCATTACACAATAAATCAGATTCGAACAATTTATATCGTTTCCACTGATAATTCAACGCAAGTAGATCTGCATAGGTATTCGATTCAATCGAGGCTGCAGACACGGAATATTTTTGTTGCGGAATGTATTTGCAATACATGTTTAAATCCAGTTTTTCGTAATCCTCCACAACTGCTTTCCACAATGGAAATAAATTGGTGTTTTGATAGTTTTGTTTGCAACTAAAAATTGGAGTTTTTAGAAGTTCGAGTAAGAGCAGGAAGTATTTACAATTTTAAACTCCAATCGTATGATGGTGGATATCGTATGGCAGTACTTGTCGGATATTGCCGCTGTTTAAGTAGAAAACTTATCCCATTTAGTACTAAAACAACATTTATGAATGAATAAAAGAAAAGTTACTTATGTGGAAAAAAAGTTGAAAGTTAAGTTTTGGTTAAATAACTAAATAAGTCACATTTTCTAACGTCTGTTAGATTCATGATGAGTTTAATGTCAACATTAACAATACAATTATTGCTATAAAACGCCTTTAGGTTGCCTACAATATGATGAATTCAATACTGCCTGCAAGGTGTCTTCGAAGTACCACCCATAACTCTAAGCAACCATCCCCACTCCAATTGTGGTCTTTTTCGATACCTCACTTGCAGTGCAAGAATCTCAAAGTTTCAATCTGATAAACTAACATTTTAGAAAAGTCATGTTTTAAATCTAATTTTAGTGCCAAATTATCAAATGTTTTCATAAAACTGTAATATTCAAAATTCAGAGATTTTAAAACTTTGAAGAATAACTACAAATCTGGGACTCAAACTATTTAATAAACTAACGAGAGCTTCTAAATTTCATAAACGTAAAATTTATTTATTTTTTTGTATCTTCTTAGTTGTTAGTTGATATACAGAGTGGCCCAACGAGAAGTATACAGAGGGCTTTTAGGGTATTAAATTTAGAAAAATCCTCGAACACGTCAATTTTGTATTCGAGGGGGACAACTTTTGGAATACAAATTACGAACCCAAGTCTTCACCCCTCTACGTAGGGAGCTTAACCCCTAAAAGTTTAAATGGAATCCTATGGCAAATGGCACATTATTTGAAAGCCAATGTAATCATGATTACTAATCTGCTTTGCTTTTTAAATTCTATTGATTCGTTTCGGAGATATTCGCATTCCTGGCAGCTATTCGATTACATTCACCGTGTATTAATATTAAATTCAAAAAATCTTCATTAGTGTAACCCAAACGAGCCATTATTGATGAGAAGTATAAGTTCAAGCAGCGAAAATTTGACGTTTAAACATTATCATAATAAAAACAAAAGAATAACATCCAGCGATTTAATTTTTTTATCAACTTTCCACAAGAAGTAACTAAAACATGGAATATCTCGGAAACCGTTTGAAGCAGCTTTTGAAATTTTGCATCAAATTAAAGGTCTGGGAAAAAGGAAAACAAGGATGAAGAACAAAATGGGGGGTGCCATTTGAAAAAATGGAGTTACGGATATTTAAAAGTTTAAAAGTTGAGAGCTTTGAAAAAGTGACGTAGTCTCACTTTTTTAGACGGTTACGCATACCATAAGAAAATTTAATCTTTCCTTAATAAAGCATTGAAAACTGTTTTGCAATATCTCTCACCGTTTTCGAATAATAAATTTTTAAAGTTACCCCTGCAAATTCAATTTTTGACACAAAAACTTGAATATCGGCGAAGCCCTTGGAGCAAAGAGTTAACTATGGGGTATCGTTGTACTCCAAATTCGACGTAGAATCCGAAAATGTAGAAAAAATAGGGGGTCCCTATTTAAAATAACAAAGTTGATGGCTACTTCCGGTATTTCCGGAAGTGGCCCAATTTTGGAAATATTTTAGTTCAATTCATCATGTGCCAAAACCTTTAAAGGACTTATCAGTTCAGCTTAATTTTCAAAGGTTTCCCATATCTTTTTAACTGACGCTCGTCAAGAATGACCCTGTATAATATACAGGGTGGTGACTTGCGTCGCGCATCATAGGGATTTCAATGTAAAATTCATAACATGCCATTATTGGCTCCCCAAATTATGTTAGAGCAAAACTGTATTAAGGTTTTTTATAGACAACAATTTTTTACGTCAATCAACCGCGTTAGTTTCCAATTTTTGACATAATGAAGACAGAAAATTGGAAAAATAACCCCCGCATCTTTTTCAATAATCTGTGATGCCATGGAATTTTATAATACAAAAACTACAATATCCGTCATGCCATGGAATGTCTGCTATAAAACAAATCAAATTCTATCAAAAAGTATTATATTTAGAACAGCGAATTCAACATAAAGAAAGACCAAATTACTAAAAACGATTTCCTAATATAATAATTTACAATAAATGTTCGAATAAGTCACCATTAACTGCAAGACAGTAACCAAGTCGATCATAAAATCCATTTCGAACTGCTGCTAATTGATAACTGGACATCTTTTTGTTTTAGAAAATTCCATGGCATCGCAGATTATTGAAAAAGATGCGGGTTTTATTTTTCCAATTTTCCGTCTTTATTATGTAAAAAATTGAAAACTAATACGGTGTATTGACGTAAAAAATTTTTTTCTACAAAAAACCTTAATACATTTTTGCTCTAATAGTATATTAAGTATGGAGAACGGTAAGGGTTTTTTACCGTTCGAAGACAATTGTTTGGAGGAGGAGCGAAGCGACGACTCCAATTATTGTCTGAGAACGGTAACCCTTAACGTTCGACGTGCTTATAAAATTTTTTGCGCGATCGAAATTAAAATTATGTAACCAATATAAATATGCACTATAAGAAATTAACGAGCAGAATAAATCGAAATGATCGAAGTGGTATGGTGTACATCACTAGGTAACCAGTTTATTTGTCAAAATTGAAATTAATAATTTCATAAAATTGTACATGTGTCTGATGTAGGTTGCTAGCTTTGCACTACCTTTATGACTTTATGAGCGTCTTTCTATAGGAAACAATAGCACAAATTGTACGTTTAATGTACCTAACAATAATTAAAGATTAAATGTAATGTAAGACTGTTGATTTTTAAAAAGGCGTCGGTAAGTATTTTTGCTGTTCTGTTTTTAGATCGGTAAGTAATTTTGGCGTCGTCGTAATCATAGCAACTGGTAAATGCTACATACTGTTATGGAAACACACATGGTAAATAGCCAGAAATGGCCGATCGCGCAAAAAATAATTTGGGGAGCCAATAATCGCATGTTATGAATTTTACATTGAAATCCCTATGATGCGTGACGCAAGTCACCACCCTGTATAAAGTAGGCTTGAATTTGTTCATCAGTTTTTCTTTATATTTATCATTTTCAATAATCTTTGATTTCATTTCCTTTTCCAAGTTCTTCATTTCATTTTCTGCACTATTTTTCAACTGTCCTAGTTTGCCATAGATTGTCTTTCAAATTCCTTTTCATTTAAATTGGCGTTACATACCAGACGCCAGAAATTGCTCAAAAATTCGCGTTCTGTCCACCTAACAAATGTCTACTCATCGAGTACCTAACAAAAACATTAAACATAAGTGTTTTCAACACAAAAGACCTTAAAAGAGAGTTAAGTCGAATCCTTACGCAATTTCTTATTTTGGTTTGGATTTTTCCTCGCAGCTTTATTCACGCGATCTGGCTCCATGTCACATTCCAGCTCATTATCTTCTTCTACAAAGTCTTCATTGGTCGATTTACTATGAACCTGTTTAACATGTTCGACAATTTGATCCTCACTTTCAAACGTAAACATACAGTTTTTACATGTATAACCCTGTTAAACAAATGATATCAAAACGATAGTAAAAAGAAATCAAAAGTACATTCATAGTCTTATGACCACATTTCCAGATATGATTTTCCAGTTCTTGCACGTCCGAAGATTGAAAATTGCAAGCTGTAAACCAGCAATTTGCAGCTTTGTTTGCTTTAATTTCGCGATTAATTCGTTTCTTTCCGAAACCAGTGGGATGAAAGTCAAAATTAATGTACCAAGAGCGTCTCTGAAAAAAACTAGTGACATCTTCATAAAAATTCTCATACAAGTACATACTACTTTTTTTGGTTCAGACATCATTTTCTCACTTTGCAATTCCTTGAATATATTTTCAGCTCTGGAAATCATAAACGTAATAGAATTATACAATCATGTATGAGAAAAGTACTTTGCGGCCGCTTTCCGTTTGGAAGTTGAAGCATGTGGTTCGTCAGTACATGGAGTATCCTCGTTATCAGTGTCAGGACCTAGCAGACCTCTACATATCTTCAAATGAGCGGACATACTGACAGGTAACACTGTATGTTCGCAATACTCGCACTTGATTCTCACAGAAGAAACTTCGTTGGCTGATCTTTGGCATACCGATTTATGAGAAAGGTACCCCAATGCAGATTTCTTAGTGATTCCACAATTTTCGCAATACAAGGGTTTTTTGCGCTTATAAAGATCGGTCAAAATACTCATAACTAGTCCATGATTGTTCAGATCCTGTATCTCATTACGTTTAAATTTCCAAAATCAAATAGTTTATTATTTACCAGTGGAGGATCGCCCACTCGCCATGCTAAGTTGTTGTGGCTCCGATACTTATGTTGAGTCCAGGACAACTTTGAGAATTGCAAATTACATACTGCGCAAGTGACCAACTTTTCTTCGACTTTTGCATTTGTTTTGTTACTAAAATCATGCTACAAATTATGAAGATTCGATACCATACCATGATGCAAAATTCGGCAAATAAAATATTTATTTAAAGCAAGCTTTCTTATGTTCCAATACATTGACAATGTTAGATAATTAAGCCTCAACGTCAACCTGGGTCATAGCGTAATTAATAAGATAGTGAGACAATCTCTAAATACCTCTAAGAAGCAGCGCATCTTCATAAATGATGGGCGCATACCAATATTTAACACTCTTTAAAAAAGTTAAGAACCATTTGCTATTAAAATTTTTCTTGACGAACGTATAAAGTCGTGGGAATATGCAACACTATTTAAATTAATTTAACTTAATGTTCAACAAGACCTTTTTAGGAAGGTGTTTATGCATGTATTTGATTTAACTGAGAATTAATTTAGATTAGTTAACCATATTCGTTTCAGATCAAGAAATAAATAACACTTCCTCATAGGCACTTTTAAGCGCTGCAAGATGGTCCCCACAGATTTTCATTGCGACATGTTTCATCTTTGAGAAACCATCAACTTCATATTTTTATATGGACTGGAAAGAAGGTACTGTATTCAGTAGCATTTTTTATTATGAATACAGCGATGTATGGTACAATATGATTCTTTATGTCATTTAAAGGAACCATCTCGGGAACCACCAATGAATTATCTTGACATTTTGTCAACGCCTACTACATCAAAATATTAAAAATGGTTTATTGTTTAAATGAAAAAAATAGTACTTTGTGTACAAAGACGGGAAATTGGATGTGTCCCGAATCGAAGGAAGATATGGCCAGGCAGGGGAAAGCCGAGGCTGGCCACTTCCAGAGGCCCAGAAAACAACTTCGTGCAGTGGTTCATACACTATTTTTTATCGTATATGGCTATACACTTACGTTTAAAATTATGCCCTTTCTAATATCCCATAATAATATTTAATAATAATAATAATATTTATTCGTGTTTTGCTAAAAAAAGCTTAAATCCTACAGCCACCAAATCTGTGTCAACATACAGTGGCACATCGAAAACGAAACAGACTGAATAACTCTTAAGGAAATAGTTTTTCTAAATAACGCAGAAACAGATCTACTTTAGGTTCAAGGGGGACATCTTTTACTTACTTACACCCCTGGCGTCAATCTTCGGCAATTAAATGAATTCTTTCAATCGATAAAATGAAATGAATATAAGATAAATTTAATTATTAAATCAGTGTTAAACTGCTTTTATTATGTTTCGCCATTGAAGAAACCAGTTATACTTAGGGGTCCTTTGTGTTCCTTGTTTATCAGAGTTGAACAGTGCCAACAGGTCATATTTACCAAATCCTTATATGGAGCTAGGTAAAGTTTGATTGTTTATTATGTAAAGATAATGGTCCTTTGAACAGTTCTTGTTGTTTTCTTATTAGATTAAACTACGTTTTTTACTTTATTTATTGTTCCTTATGATCTTACATTTCAGATTGATCCTCCCTTACATAATATTGTTATTGGCATTGGATAAAAGCTTATTCAATATTTTAATCTAGTTTATTCAAACTCAAAGCGCTTGCCAAAAATCTGGCAACGTTGGAATTTTAAAAAAGTAAAGAAATTTGCAAAGTCGGTAACTAGCTTTAAATTTGTGGTCCACTTTCCCCCACAACAGAGGGACGACAGAATCCTGGGCAGATTTTCTTATTTCATCAGTTAACACGAGCGTTATACTTCTTTAAGGTGCTTATTCAATGGTTTCGCTCCTTCAAATTTTATTGCAGGTGCGCCATCTAGGTTATAATAATATAATAATAATATTTATTGTCCAAACAAGTAAATATAACAGGACAATATCTAAATAAGAAATATTAAAGAAATATACAAGGCCTAGCCTGGAAAATGATTTTTTATCCTATACAAGGAGAAACTTACATTTTCTCGCCTGTGTGAGGACGCGAAAGAAGACAATTGCACGCATGGAGCGAGAAAATTCAATTTTGTCGGCTAGGCGAGAAAAAAAATACACCTTATGTAAGCTAGATGGCGCGGTTGTAATAAAATGTCAAAGAAGTTATTTCTTTTTAATTAAATAAGAAACATAAAATCGTCAACACTGATTTAATAATTAAATTTACCCTATGTTCACTTTATTTTACTGAATTCAAGAATTTATTTAATTACCGCGAACCTATATCGATCAATGTTTTGTGAATTTGAATACTTTCCCAATATCACGTGACCAATTCAAACGTTTCAAACTTAAGTCATAATCTCCCATTTACTTTCAATAACGAGCATCTGTGTCAATACATTTAACACCAAGATATACTTTGCACTGTAAGTAGAACACCGCTTATCCGCAATAAGTAGCATTTTAACATACGAGACTACCCCGAAGTTAAAATGTGTCCAGTGTGACTGTAAGGAATGAATAAATGTATTTATAAAACACACATTTTTTTAAAATACAAGATCATCAAGGATTTAAAGTGTGCCCATTGCGCTTTCGTCGCCAAGCATAAATCCAGTCTTAAAAGCATCTCACATTTGACAAGACATGGATACTGCGAAGGATTTAAAATGTAACCGGTGTGATTTTGTCCCTGAAAACACACATTCAATTTTAAAACACATTTGTTAATACACAAGACCAGTAATAATTTCAAATGCGCCTGGTATTAATTACAACCCCTTAAATCCCGTTATTTTCTAAGGAAATAATCACGCGCCAGTGAAATGCCGGAAATGTCAACTCAGTTCGCACATGATCGGTATTCTCCACTTGCACCTCTGCTCTGTTGCACCGTGACTCCCTTCGGTGACTCCGCACTGTGCAATCGCAAGCACGCTAGAATTTGAATTTGCGTTGAACTGTATTATAAGGGAAAGGGGTAAATCTACGAGTAAAAAATATACTCGTGGACCCACTTAGATTGCACCGTTTCGTAAAATTTTTTACGCGTAGTCAGCAGGAAACGTGGAAATAAACAAAACAAACACGTGCACGTTGGCGCGTTAAAGCAAATCCAAATTCAAGCGCTTGCGGTCGGACGTTGTTGAGGGATTAATTTTAAATGTAAGTGTATAGGATAAAAAATATTGTGTGCACCACGGCACGAAAGTTGTTTTCCGGGCCTCAGGAAGTGGCCAGCCTCGGCTGCGCCTCGCCTGGCCATATCTTCCTTCGCCCCGGAAAACAACCACTTTCCCGCCTTGGTACACAAAGTACTATTGTCGCTTCATGCCTGCAATTGTCTTCTTTCCCGTCCTAATACAGAAAATGTACGTTTCGTGATTAAGATAAAAAAAACTTGCTGTTAAACAGTTTGGTTTAGTAGGCGTTGGAAAATGTCAAATTAATTCTTTGATGGTTCCTTTAAATGACCTAACGTAATAAAGAATCACATGCCAAAGGCAATGATGTTGGGCATATTAGCAATAAAAAATCCTACTCAATACAGCATGCACTTTTTTTCTTCAAATCATCTAAAGAAGTTCCTATGTTATTTGTTTTTTCATATCTTTTCAAACATGTCATAAAAAAATTAAAAGGAATATGATTAAGGTTTTCATTAGGGTCACAGACATTTTGTCTTGTAAAATATGAAACAGCTTGTTTAAATAAACCTCCATATACAAAAGAGTTTTTTATATCTCTGCATGATCATCTCACCATCTTATTAATATATTATACAATGCGCTAGTGTCAGTATTCAGAATTCCTTCACTTTCGAAGCAACGAAATGTGCAACTTTCCCTCCCTTTAATTGACTTTCAAGATCCCAAAACCCCCTCCTTAAATTTGGAACATGGGTACTGACAAAAGTCACATTAAGATTATGACTTTATTGCATCTGTATGTAAATGATGACTCTTATAGAAATTGACATACTCAACATCCCCTGAAGAACCAGGACGTACAGCATCCAAGGGCGATTCAGAATGTTCTCCACTCAAATCTATGGGCTGAAGATTCACATTACCATTTATCTGCTGGAAAACAGTGGTCAACAATTTACTTTGCTGAGAGGTCGTTGCATATCTCCCGCGTGGCTTCTTCTTCTTGCCTTGTTCATCACATTGTTCCACAATGCTTTCGTGAGACTTTTTCTTCTTAACTGGTTTATCACCCTCTTCCACTGTGGTGGTTGTGTTGTTTGAATCGGAACTTTTATTACCTTTTGAAAGTGTTGCTTTTGCTTTTTGATCAGATTTCTTAGGTCTGCCACGTTTGCGTTTTCCCTCGGACCCTTCAGTAATATCGTTAGTTGAAGTGTCACTCTCGTCACCTTCAGCTAGAGAAGCATAATCGATAACTTTTCGCTTTCTTCCTCTCCTTTTGTATTCTGGTTCTAATTCATTATATTTCTCTGACTCTGTCTCGCAAATAGACATTTTATTCTTTTCCATTTCACCCACACTGTTATCGCCTGGTGCTTGATTTGTGGGAAGCGAAACGCTCGCATGTTCGGGTATAATGTCCTCTGTGGAAGAAGTTTCTACTGTGTCCTTTCCATTTGTAGAATCAGCAATGTCAGTATTGCTACCCTTTAACATCTCAGTGATACAATTTTGAGGTACAGATACCTTCTTGTTACTAAGCACATGCAGTTTCACATTTGGACTAGTCTTGGAATCGGTTTTACTGCTTGAAGTATCAGACTGATCTGGGCTTGAACTAGATGGTTTGGATTTCTCCATATTTTCAGATTTGTCTGCAAAATGAAGTGAGAAACATCTGTGAGCATCATACGCAACGTACCTGACTTATTCAAATTTGATTTTGCTACCATCCTGTGATGATTGTACCATACTTCAATGTAATATACAGCTTACAGTTTATTGACACCTAGGTAAGACAAGAAAGATTAGATTAGTCTAAAAATTTGACCACAGTAATCTGCAATACTTGACCGTTAAGTGCGTTTTTTACGCATATAATTGACCTCGGAATTGACATTCAATGCAGCTATTTATAAGAGACGATATAATTGATTCACACAGGATGTAATGTAAAATTAAAGTTGGGCGATCTGATCGCCCCTCTTAAAAGTAAAGAAATATATAACTAGAAAATATTGAAAATGTTATACAAATGACCGATGTTTTGGAAATATTTGGGAAAGTGCAGTAAATTTTGGAAATATCGAATGTAAATGTTATCATATAAACTATTGTTCGCCGACGATCTAAAGATTTTCACGCAAATATGCAAAATCTCAGATTGCAAATTGCTTCAATCTGATCTAGACAATATGATTAAATGGTGTCTATAGTAAACAGATATAATGTAAAAAAGTAATGTTATTCTCATGTAGTGATCTACAATTTGAAACTTTGATTATAAAATACACTATATTCAAAGATTTGAACTATACCACAGCTGAAACTTCTTTAAATTGGTGCATTGAAGGTTGAAACTAAATACCTCAGTGTCCTCATGGACAAAATGTAACCATTCTCACCACATATAAATACAATAATTATTAAACACTAATATTCATATAAAACTTTAGGTTTCATAATTCGTATTTTTTAATCTATCCGCTTAAACGTTAGAGACAAGTAGAAATCTTGTTAATTTGGACCATGTTATATTTACCTCTATGGCTCTAGCATTATGCGGATCACACTGTAATTGGGCGCAAGCCTGTTGAGGACCCCGAACAAGAGACGGATAATAAAAAACTTTAATATGACAATTAATTTTTAATATAAGTACCCCTGGCTATCTCAGTAATAAAAATAGTTATCAAACCCCTTACCTTGCAGTTTGGCCTATTATCTCCTCTTAAAATCTGAAATTCAAAATCTAATGCTCTGGTTTGATTGAACTCCAATAAATACGCATATGACTTCAGTTGATAAAATATATAGAAGAAAGGCAAAAGCTATCTAATTCCATTTTTTTTTACACTGGATGTAAAATATTGGCCAGATTCATAACAAGAAATACAAAAAGAAAAAATTTCAATCCCCATCGTAATCACATCCATGCTAAATTTGATCCTTATCTATATATTTTATCTTTACCACGTAATGGATTACTGGTACATTCTTCTGTTTAAAACATACAACCCTTCCTGAATAATGCTACATAAATTCCCAATCAATGAGCAATATAATCAAAATTTAATTCTTATTAAAAAAAATACCGTACAAAATATGGTTCTGCAAATAAATCTCAAGGTCGGTTTCTTTAGGAATATCAAAATTGCTTTAAACCAAATTTTTGTAATGCCAAAATGTCCAGACGTATTGCCCAAACCAACCTCAATTTCGCGAAAGTAAGTAATAACTCGATATTGTGGTTCCTGATGCACAGAAATAAAATTTAATAATTTCATGAAACATTTTTTTATTATTTTTTATTTCTTTAAACGAAATATTTAAAATTGTGAAAAAAATTAAAAACGCAGGAAAATTCATAAACATTCGAAAAATCAGAAAGATTTAGAATAATTCAAAAAACTCAAAAAATTTGGCAAATGTATATAAAACTTGAAAGTTTTGACTCCTCCTTGTATGGCGAATCGTCATTTATCGCGCAGTGTGGCATTCCAATTTTTCAACTGGATAAGTCGAGACGCAAAGGTATAATAATAATATTTATTATACCGTTATCCGTACACTTACGCTCGTCATTACAAAAAAAATATTACAAACAATATATAATTAGAGATAAAAATGTAAACCAATTTCCAAACTTTTCACGATTACTTCGCCGACGTGTTGAAAGTAAAATCAAAATCTATATCTATATCTCAAAAAGGAGATTTTATAATATGAAAATTCGCCATTTCTTTAGTGCTCGATTCTCTTTCTTCGCTCCAACAACGGCCTGCTGCGCCGCCTCACCTCACACGCCCGCGCGACGACCTATATAACCACCTAGCAGTATGAAATATACTTTATGACCTCATACCTACAAATATACAAAAAATGTCATAAAAGTCGATCAAACCGTTTCAAAGGAGTAGGTAGACCCACTTTGCAGGGGGTGTCAAGAGAAAGAGAAAGAAGAAAGTCCTCTGAATATTCGTGAATCAGATTAACAGAGAGACCTCTGGTGGCCTCATATTGTAATTACTATTGGTGGGATATGACCGCAATTTCGTTTATTTTCAATTGCCAAAAGTAATCAATATTGTAGTTTTTACGTTTGTAAAAGTAAACACACCTGCAAAAATTTCATTAGTAATCAATGTAATTACACCTAAAAACGATCAAGGATAGTTTAAAACGTCACATTTTATCACATTACTTCAAGAATTGTAAATGTGATCAGTGGAATTATGTAACCAACAATACGTGTAATTGCGCTACTCACGATAAGCAGAACTTAAAGTGCCATATTCACACTAAAGGATGTTACGTGTAACTCTGTGCGATTAGGTATGCCACAATTAGTAATTGCGTGTTCACGCTAATTCAAGTCAGCCTAAGAAAAAGGCGAGGAAAAAGGCTTTTTAGGTAGGATAGGATTAAGGGGTTATATTTGCAAATCTAAAAAACGGTAGGATAAATTCAGTTCACTTTCAAATTGGTACCATGCTAGAATAACCCAATGTTTACAAACCACTCCCACCAATACACGCCATTTGTAAATTACATCAGCGCCTCTAGTGTTAATCTGAATCACGAATACTGTTCACTGTGAAACATATAACAGATAAAGACACAAGTTCCTTGGGGAGGGCCTGGCCAACCGTACCATTATAACATTATCGAAGTATGTGTACCGCCAGTTTCCATAGTAATGCAAGAGGTACACATAATTGTACCATTTTTTGTAACATTACTGACCAGCCCAGCAGTAAAAGCTGCAGGTCAATGTTACCATTTAGCGGTAACTAAGAATGTTTTAAGTTAATGACGAAAGCATCATTGTATTGTACTTCTAGTCAAGTAGAAGACGTGGGTGATGACTTTGAAATAGGAACTTTATAAAATGCATAAAATTGCCATAGCAAACAGTCATTCCGTTTTTTGTTTCCTAATCCATGAAACCATGGTATAAAAACATAAGGTAGTAGCCCGGGTATACTGATTAAATTGTACTGAATAACCTTTGTTGTTATGAATTACTGAATCTCTCTTACAAACGAGCTTACAAATAAATTTGGGTAATTTTTTATTGATGGAAGCTACATAGAAAGCATGTACCAGATTAAATACTATGTTTTGAATATCTACAACCTGCCTGTTCTTTCCGAAATATTCCTTTGCACTTGGCAACCCATTTACAATTCATCTATGCTTAAAACAAGGCACATATTTTGGATCTTTAGTTTAGATTTAAATACCAATACTGTCAGACGAAAGAAGGATACCTTTCGAGTGGAATCACAAAAAATGCCTTTAAACTTAAATGCACTGAATTGAGATGAAGACAACCTTCATGTCTCACCGCAAGCAACTTAAGTAAGCACTTAATTGTCTAGAACCCCTAAAATGTAGCACTAAACATCTTCGATACCTTTACATGAGTTTCTGAAATGTGCTTTTATTTCAAAGTTGCAACATCCAAGTAGATAACAAGTGACAACCACATGCTTAGATGAAGGAACTAAACTTTATGCCCCTGAACCTTTTTTAACATCGAACGTGGAACGGTAAAGTCAAAACGTAATTTAAATCAAAATGAATTAAAAATGCGGCAGCACAGGTAGAGAACGAGATTCGAACCTGTTAACAAAAGTGCGTTTCCCTTACAAATTATTTCACTTTTTAAGTTGATTACGTAATACTTGCCCCTAAGAATAATTAATTTACAAATATCCGAAAAAAACTCACCTCGTACAACACAAAACTTCTACACTTTCTTTAAAATACAATCAATACTTCGCAAATGTTTAAGGAAATATGGACGAAGAAAATTGTGGCCATGTTTATTGCAAACAGTGAGGCAACATAAGAATAATCACTAGATAATAACTAAAAAGTTACTATTATAATAAACATTTTTGAATATTTTTTTACAAAATAATTCCGCACCTATCACCATTCACCAATTTAAGAATAATCGTCCTGATCATCTGTGGTCGGCAATGCCGAGCACTGCGCCTGCTGTGCAGCCGCCTGTAGCTGTTCCCACTGTTGTTGCTCGGCATATGCTTGCTCTTGTCTCGCTTTCGCGAACAACTCCTGTTGTTGTCTCCACAATTCCTCCTCGGGTATCCCCAAGTTTTCCAAACGTGTGCTCTGTCTTCTGCGTTTTGCCGCTACCGCTTTACAATCCTTCAACACGGCCTCCGCTTCAGCTTGGTAATCTCCAAAACCCAGCCGATCTAATGCTGCAAAAGAAATAGCGTATTGGACTACGAAACGAACACGTACCCATCAGTATGTGCTCTGCGTTAATAGTCTTCTTATTTAGAAGGTTACAAATTTCGTTGGCCTCGGAGCTTAGTAAATGGATAAATTCTGTACAGCAATTTAACACCAATTCCCTGGCTTCATTTGCAATCCGAACAGATGGTACTAATTCCTTAATCATTTTATTAATACTGGCACGTGGAAGTGTTAACTCTTCATCTTCCGCATTTCCGGGACTTCCTGATATACTTTGGTTGCTCATTTTAAGATATTACTCTAAGTACTTTGGACGTATTTATTTACAAATTGATAGAATTGTCTAACCTAAAATGTAACCAAACTAAGCGGGAATTTTAAATGTCGGTGACGATTTAAGCGACATTGTCATTTATCACCGAAAAAATAAATCTTATACAGCCAAAACGCAAAATTGAACCGCAGGGAACTGGTACAGATCCTTCCCAGCCGCTGGTGAGTGTTTCGAAGTGATTAGCTTCACAATAACACTCTTTGTTTCCTCTCTTAGTAAATAGTTTTCCTGGCGAATTATTTAAACGCGACTGGTAATTTAGTGTACTGTCGGTACGGTTTACACAATCTTCAAATTCTTCATTCTCCGTCTCCCCGCGTTCCAAATCTTCGCAAACAAACAAGTTACTCTCATTATTCGCCGCCAAAGTATTATTTACGAAAGTTCCAAAACACGAATAGTTAACCAGCTCGTACTGTTTTTCCATTTCGTCGTAAAAGACAACGGCATGCTTCGGGGATACAAACTGACAATCTCCATAACGGTCTAATGGAACATCATTTGTATTACCTATACCGAAGGTAAAAACTCTGTGCTTCACCGGAATTGCCGGTGGTAATTTTGGGGAGGCGACCGGTTTGTGCCCCGCGAGACTTTTTGGCGTTTTGATTAGCGCAGGATCCACCTCCGGGCACCACAAGTTGAAATAGTTTGCTACAATGGGACACAGGAGCGCTTTCGCTTCTTGGAACTTTTTGGAATGCTTTTTCGGGCTTCCAAACATGTTATTTAGTCTGTCAATTTCATTTTGAGGCAAAAGTTCACTTGGTAACATCTCCATTTAAAAATGCTGAGCACACAAATGTCATTCTAGTACCTATATAACTTTTAAATCATTTTTCGGTTAGTAGGCCTTGCTTATCTGCAAGGCCAACTCGCTGTAGGCATGCCACAGTTTCATAATATATTGTGAACTTTCTTTTTTAGAGTTTTGCTACTAAAGTTCATGATAAAGCATAGTTCTGGAACCTTCGACTGGAACTCATATGGGTACCTACTCCTCACCTTTTTTGCATTTGCTTACAAATACTTTGGCAATTAAAATGAAACTAATCCGTTTAAAGGTTAATTGTGAATTAAATTATGGGGTGAAGCTCTGCTCGCCTATCCGTACGAGCTTAATAAACTACAGTGAACACAAATTCAACTAACCGCACTCCTAAAAATTAGCGGAGATATCAGGTTGAATAGAGTTTATCTAGTCAAACATGCATTTTATTCAGTAAGCGAGTACATGAATTTTGTGGTTTTATCTCTATTGTTAATTCACGAATTGAACATGAACATCGGAGCAATATGCCAATATCTCTTACATTTCAATTGAAGCGCCGCCGTCTCTCGCGCGATAACTGTTTCGATGCTCGCTCGCATTTACCCCTTAAATATTGCAAATCAAATCCAAGCCGCCTTAAATTAGCTTATTGAGTTCTCTCGTAGAAAATAAGAAGTAAAATTATAGTTTATACTATGTATTGTGATTTTGATATACCCTATATATGTTTTCTTTGAATGCCAACAGGATGAATAAACATTATTACTATTACATACACTACCCAAGATAGTTTTCTAGGCAAAAAAGAAGATATTTTAACAATATTTAAAAAAAATGCGATTTTTGAAATCAGAAAAAAATTCTCTATCAAATGACACAAAAAGTATAAATTACTTCTATAAGAAAAAACAAAGTTGATGATGGTTAACCTGAGACGAAACGCGGATTTAATGTGTTATTTGAATCCACTTAAAATTTATTTCTGATTGACGTATGATGGGTTGCATAATACCATTGAATAATAAATCTGAAATTATTCAATGATAATACTTACTTGTAATGAAATCGAAACGAATAAACAAAGATTGAAGAATTTACCTGCCCATCAACAAGTAATTACGCTAATTTACCTAGGTCATTAGCCATTGTGAGGAATATGCATATATAATTAAACATGGATTAGAAAACGCAAATCATTGTCACAGCGGCTAATCCTCAATAATTTCACTCTTCCCAGTTATTCATAAGACGTATATATTTTTTTAAACCCAGTATGGTTACTTCATGATCATGAACTATATTGACTCTACCTATCTGGAAAATAATGCATGTAAGCGAATAAGTACCTACAATTAGATATATTTAAAAAATGCATATCCAAATCCCAAACATTTATTAGTAGGGGTTTTTCAAAATTTCGTCTAATTCGGGAACAACGCAAAATAAATGAGAACTAACGCTTTTTTCGCAAACTATGTCTCTTTCGGAAGGATGCTACAGGGAAATAATCTCAAATTTGTATCACACTAAAATTTTAGGGGTGTTTCAAAATTTCGTCTAATTCGGGAACAACACAAAATAAATGCGAACTAACGCTTTTTTCGCAAACTATATCTTTTTCCGAAAGATGCTACATGGGAATAATCTCAAATTTTGATCACACTAAAATATTAGGGGTGTTACAAAAAACGTCAGAAAAGACGTAAACTTTTAATTCACCCAAAAATAAATCATATTTTCCGTGTGAATTCTATTACCCAGTATATTATGGAATTATAATACGTTTTAATGAATCCGGTTTCTATTTGTAAATTAGTCCCGATAAACGCAACAATGCCGCTATGATGAAGTCAGGCCTGCCGTATGATGTGTTGCCTACTGTACATTTATAAATGGTGAATGACCACTAAACCTTTGAATTTATATTCAAAGACTAAACGCTACAAGTTTTCGTAAAAAATTTCGAATGAATATTTCGTCTAAAATTTTTTGTAATTTATTTGAAAGTTTGGTCGATGGCTCTATGGTTTGCTAATGTGTTTTCTGAGTATGCTACAGGGAGATTTTTAAAATAATTTGTGTTGACGCCATTTTACCTATAAAAGTTCGCTTTTTATTGGCAGTGCTCTAAAAAATTGTTTTTTCTTAAATATTAAAATTTTGTTCTGTAGCATACTTTTTAAATGTATAATTTACACGAAAAAATTAGCCCCGTCTTTCATCTCATGTTTTACATTTTTTTTTTAACTTTGTAAAAAAAAATATTTTGAATAATATAGATTAGTCTAGTATCTTTAATATTAATATTTATAAATAAAACCCATCAGTGTTTTGTTAAATAGAACCATGGGTTATATCAAAATGAGGAGTATTAAAGTAAGTTTTTTTCCACTAGAAAATAGGTTCACAGGTGTTGAATATATAACCCCACTCAAGAGATATCGATACGATTAATGTACGTGCGCGGCTGCCCGGAAGTTTTCCCTTTACACAAATACAGTGTCTCTATGAACTGTTTATATCAACGTTTGATACGTACCCCACTATCAGGAGGTCGAACACCATACTTTGTCCGAAATGCACACTGAACAACTGTCGTCAATAATAAATTATTCACTTTTTTTTATTAAACCGCAGTAAGGGTTAATTTTTAAGGGTGGAAATATTCTGAAAGAATGTTCCAAAGCCTCTAACAATCATTACTTACTTTCACCCCGGCATAATATCGATTTTGAAGTGGAGGATAAGTTTTAACCTAATCCCAAATTTATAACTGTTTATAAAAAGTTTAATTTTCGGCAAAGTCGTAAAGACGAGGCCCGTATTTCGGAAAAGTCAGGTAATACCAGTTACGGTAGAATGCCAGCGCATGTTGAGTAGTTATTTCATAGAGCTAGCATTCCACTGCGCCTATATTTCACATGGAACACAATAAATATTATGTGCCAAAGTGTAGATTTTATATTATTTCAAAATTATTAATATATTTAATCAAACTTGTTAGAACCTATAATATTTAATATTTGTTTAATAAATTGTTTATTTAAGATACAAAAAATTAAAATTAAAGAAGTTTCTTTTTCCTCATTTTGTCATTATTTTTTGGTTGCTGCACCAATTTGGCTGGTGCCCTAAGCACTTGCTTAGTCTGCTGAAGTAACTTCAAACCTATAGTCACCTGAAACTATTTTGTATCAAATTCGAAAGTGAAGTGGATGGAAAATGTTGGGTCCAAACTAAAAGAAGGTGTATAATTTTCAATTTAATTCGCAAATTCTGTACAAGAAGTATATACATTAGACTCTTTGGCTTAAATGCTTACATTTTTGCAATACAAGACTGACAATAGAAAACACTATCTTCTAAACACATACTATAAATAAAGATTTGTAGTCAATCATTTCTATCAAGGCACATTTAGTTACACCATTCAAATATATTCAAAATACAGTTTTCTACTCAATTTTAATTAAAAAAACATTGCACAACACTTACAAAGAACAAAACTAATAGTTACATCCTAAATTTAAATACTAATCTTTGGATAAAACATTTACATACAAACACATCGATTTAACATTATAATTTGATGTTCGAATATACATTATATATTTGGCGGGAAAAGTTAAACTAAACAATTTTCGTTTTCGTCTTTGGCATTATCGATCTTACAACTAACATAAATAACGATCTTTGAAGATTCAAATATAAAAGTAATTCTCGTAATCTGCATATGACGGTTTCTCCGCCATCGATAGTGACACTTGTTTACTGTTCATTTCACTTTTTTTATTTGATGAACTGTCTTTTGTACTTTTTATTTTTTCTTCGACACCTCTACACGGAAGTAGGGAGTTCTGTGATCTTGACAGTAACTGAGATCGGTAGGCTAACTGCTGTCGTTTATTTGAAGGTATTGGTGGTAATTCGGGCACCCAGTATATCTACAAAAATCTCTTGTAAGTAATTACAAAGTTACTATGGGGTTTGCATATACCTTCCGCCTCGATAGTGGTAAACTGTATTCTGGATTCCTTCTGACTAAAAAGTGGCAGTTGAGTGAAGGTAACCATGAATGTTGAACTTGTAGTGGTCTGTCGTCAGGATGTAATTTGCGCTGTTGTTCTTTATCCGTGCATACTTCGTATATTGAGAATTGTTCTACTCTCTCTTTACTATTGCAACAAGTCAATAGTAAGGATATGACTTCATCTGATGTAGTTTGCGAGCTGATTAGTAAACATTTATATTGAGAGTTATTATTTAAGGCGGAGTCGTACACTTTCACTAATCCACCTCGCTTGGTTTGAAGGGAGAATCTAAAATTGAACACGATACCATCAGACACAGGTATCAAAGGCATTACGAAACTTACTTGGAGTCTCCCTTTGGATGACAACTTTGTAGAACAGCAGGTCGGGCTTCGTCATCCAACGCTAAGTGTGTACGTACTCCCGCTTTTCGTACGGTTACCTCCATACTCAAATAGAATAGTTTGGGATCTCTGTGTTTCATTTTGTACTTCCCCAATAACGTACCGACGACTTCTCTGCAGGTGGTTTGAAACGAAATACCCAATGTTTTGTACTCGATATCTGGACGTAAGCATCTTGCGTAGACTTTTATAGTGGTCTGGAAAAAAGAAAAGTATATTAATATATGTGTATAAATCATAAATAAATAATCTTCATCAGGTTATGGGCCCAGACTGTCGCTACGGGCAAAACACTACCTTGGCCAAATCTAATAGTCATAAATTTGCTGCGAATTTATGATAAGACGGCCTTTTTTATAAATTGGTTTTCCGAGAAAACATTTCAAAACAACGCAAATGAATAAAAGAAGGGATCACTATGCCATATAAAATAGGGGACTTTAATAAAAATATTTCTGTTGACACTTACGTGCACATTACACGCTTGTAAAATATAAACATTCGAACCGCGTTTGAAGGAGCTCTGCATTTTGTACATTATTGATTAGCTTGTAATAAAATATACAGAAGGAAGCCGCACCTAACGAATATAAACTAACACTGAGCATCTTATATGAGAATTAACTGAAGAAATTTTATATCAACGGTACAAGCGTCGCGACGTGTACGTCTTCCGGTTAACGTCAAAAATATAGGATACATATCTCTCGTGTAGGTACTTGATTTACTTACTTCTGGAGCATAACACATTCAACGTACCTACAAATTTAATCTTTATCAATGATATAAATAACTGCAAGTCTTCATCGCAGACGACGATAGGTGTTACCAATATTGAAAGACACCCCTAATAACATTATTATTACCAATCAATTTAAACAAAGCTAATCTAGCAAACCACAAAAATGCACCCCTCCGTATATTTGTCAGGTGTAAGGTGTACGCTGCACGTGCTTGCTGTTCAAATGGCTATTTCCGGTGGCGTAGATCGCGTTTCTGAAACCCTCGCCCTCTTCTAATGAAAAGGGGGCGAGACCCCCCAAACGCAGCATGCCTTTAAACTTAAACGGTCCCATTATTGCACCGAGTATTGAATTTCATAATGTAATTGTTTGAAATTCGCCACGGAAGGATGTAGATCGCAAAAGTGTGGGTAATCGACTGAAACAAATCTAATTTGAAATCCTCCAAGTTTGTCGTATTAACAGACAACAGTGCACATCCGTAGGTATAGCTGAAAACACCCCAAAAGATTCCAAATTTCCTTTTTGCCATCGAGCATGTTTTCCCAGTTCGATGAGCGCATATAAGTACGGTCAATATCTTTTCATGTGACAAAGTTACAGTTTTCCCTTTTCTTATGATAGGTTTTGATTTGGCAATGGCAGAATTAAAAACAATGATTTAGCTAAGTATATGGGCGGATAGATATTTTTGAGATGCAGCCCGGGACCCCGTGAATATCAAGGGCCTCTATCGCCAAGTAGATGTTCTCTTCTATATCTAAAATGGAGGGTCTTGTGGCAAAGTAGAATGAAATCGAAGATTGTGGAGTAATTTACAACCATAAAATTTTCGATCCAATTTTACATTCGAATTAACAAAACCCTTGCGCACTGTTAAGTAAGTACCGTATCGACAGTATCCGCGACTTTTCCTGAATCTACCGATTGCAGTCGAGTACGGGACAATCACCACTTGATGTTAAAACCAATTGTCTTCTTTTCTGCTCGACTAACCATAAGCATTTCCAATGCTAAAATTCCATCTTTTGCGAGCATAAAACAGATTGAATGCAGACTGGTTTCGGCGTTTTAATTAGGAGCGATAACACATTTTTTTGTCTGTTTCGCGCGATACGATGGCAATGGCAGATTTCTGTTAATCTCACCTAGGAGTTGGTATGTTTAGTGCCCGCGCTATGAAAGTTTTTGATCTGAGGTACAAAATAGAAATAATTCCCTTTTCCGAAGTGCTACTGGTTGGAAATTCCATCCGCTCTTCGTTCACGCACGATGCCGGAATACGACGCCATTATGTGATTCGTCGGCCATTTTGTGTATACACCAGGCCTGTTATTGTACTCCCTACGGATCGTGTCAAATCCATAGGTACAGTGATTAGGTTCTATTGCGTGTGGATCACAACTAAAAAAAATTACGACTCTCAATCCGTCCCTTTACCTATATCAATGCCTATACTCTCTGTGTACCTACTACGATCTATTGCGATTTTCTTTATAAAATACTATGTAATGCCATTGTAATGTGAACGAAAGAAATTTAGTTCAAACGTGTATAATTCTAACGTTATAAAGAAGAAAATCCAAGTTAATGACTTAAGTGAAGGAATGTCGTATGAAACACGAATCTGAGATAGGTATAAATGTCATATCAGGAATTTATAACACTTTAAATTGCACAGCATCTAACTGTAAACGCAATTTGTTATACAAATATTGTTGGTCACACATAAATGCGGAAATGTGCACGTGAACTGATACGTATGCACAGTGCCCACCAATAATTAAATAAAATATAAAAGGGTTCGTTGGTCAATACAAAGCAACTAGAGCGAAAATAGGCGCTTTGTTTTGTTTCAACAATAATGCAAAAAATGTTTTGTATTTGAGCTATTTATTAAATGTATACGTGACAGTATCGCAAGTGGCTAAGCTTTCTAATTAAGTAAGCTTAATAACGGAATAATGGCTGTAATTAGATATTGCAAAATATGGAAATCGTGGGTGCTTTAAACAATGACCAATTAAGAGCAAAAAACCAAGCACAGTAGCTATCAAATAATTGCATTGACCTCGACTGGCTAACTGCAAGTGCCTTAAATCATTAACCCAATTTTTTGCATCTTTTTTTAGGTAGAATGGGCATAGATTTGTAATTTTTTTCTAAACGGACTTTATTGTCTCGATTTCTGACTGATGACAAAATAATTGCACGTGTCGAAAAAAAGTGAAACAAAGCGTAAATGGCAATCACGGCGGAAGCAAACAATGTCAAGGAATTACCTACATTACGTAATATGGGATAAAGAGATCCATTGTTATAAATTAGAGGGGCAGGTTAAAATCCTTGGCTAAACAGTTGAGAGTAAAAAACGTCATTATTCCAAAAGAAACTATTTGTAAAGAACAAATGGCCAAGGTGCATTTACCTCTTTTCTCTCCTCGACGGGATTCTTCTGAAGCTGTAAAAAATCAGTAAATTTTGGAAAAGAATGTCAATGGACGGATAACCAGGCGTACGGAAGACGGGATACTCCAAAGCAATGGGTCAAAATGAATTCTGAATAATGAAAGCAACTTATTTTTGTGACATTCCGTTGATTGGTAAATATAGTTCAGAAGAAGGGTAGCGAAGCCCTTGTGCTTAAAAGAAAGCTGTACCATCTACATCCTGTTCCATGGCAGATGTCTTCGATTATAATTTACACGTGTCATACGGCACGTTTGACATGCTTCAACAACATATGAGATCAACAAGATCAAGTTCAATTCAAGTGAAGGTTACAATAACTTCACGTTTACCTAATAGTAAAATGAAATCATTTTCATTTTCAAATCTATAAATAAATCGGAGGTATTTTAAAAGCATTTATGAAGACTTTAAAGCACACCCTTGGAAAAATCAAGACACAACACATATGTTACCTTTCCTTTCTAGACGTTTATTAAACCCCTGGTGCTTATGAAGGATGGAGGTCAACAGGCAGGTTATACGGTTGGCATGTGCCATTTGGTATTTTATCCTAGACATGAGTTATTCACATGTAGATCCCGCATCCTGCATCTGCTAGCCTAAATCTTTATTTTCTTTTCCCCGTGCGCCTCATACCGGTTGCTAATAAAGTTGAGTAATGGAGCAATTGGGTTTCTGTGTCCGTTTAGACTTTGCATTTTACAATGTGGACACGCAGTAATCATATAAGTGTATTGTAAAGCAATAAATACATTTAACAATAAAACGATACAAAAAGAACAAGTTTTCAAGTTCACAAAAGTGTAAACAAATTATTAAAAACTTTGTGATCGCTTTACTGCTCACACTATTCGCATCGCATATAAATTGTCTGCAAGTACCAGTCAATTTTGTATATTATACACTGTGTTCAGTGAGAAATGAGATAGCGTGATATCTAGGGAACGAATGCAAGCCAGATTATAACATTCTTAAAACGTTGTTATAAATGTAAGCTAGGGCCATATATTTTTTGATACAAAATTTGTAAATTAAATGCGTCACCGCTAGATGGCGCTACCTAACTTAATTTTTTTAAAATTTTTCTTTCAACATATCGGTGAAGTAGTATTTGGTCAATAAATCAAAAAATGTAATTTAAGGACAAATTCGAGTTTAGATCTAGACATGCAAATACAAAGACCGCAACACCGCTCACAACAACCAACTTATAAGTAAACTAATCACCCAACCACTAAACAACAGAAGACTACACCGGCTATGGCCTGAAGATCTGACCATATAAATTCTAGAGAACCGTCGATGGGCGGTCCCTGGCTCAAGTCATATCCTACACGCTATATATGATTTACTAATTACTCTGTATTATTTTGAATAGATTGTAAATAGGCAATAAAATTTTAAAAAAATTAAAATTTCGAAAAAAAAGCGGCCACAACTAAAATTTTTATAAGGTATTTCCGAAAAATCATTCTATAAAAAAAAGTTAACTCGAGTGTATTTTTTTCAACTTGCATCGTCAGCTAAAATTTCAAAAAAAATGGCCCACTGGTAAGAAAATTAGATCTCGGCTTGAGTAATACATTTTTTGACATGTGTATTCGTTTATAAGAAGCACTGTCTGTTAAAATTTCGGAAAAAGTATATTAATAGCTCTTAAGATAACGATTTGATAGTGACACTGCCGTAGGGACGGACGGTCGGGAGCGGGCAGTGAAAATGCGCTAGAAAGCTACAAACTTTATGGTCATAAAAAACCGTTCAAGAATTCCGATTTTGAAGCTACTGTTGACTGAATTTGCGATAAGTCAAAAACAAACTATAATTCCCGTAAACATGGTGGGGTTTGTGTGCATTATAATTATAATTAATAATTAATAAGTATAGTTTATACAGAGTGTACAAATTTTGTATGTAAAAAAAACAACCATAACAGATAGAAGGATAGAAATATCAGCTTTGCCTAGGTTTTTGGGTATTTC